TTGTTGCAACTCTGTGAAAAAAGTTGATGGTATTTTGATAGGAATTGTATTGAATGTGTAGATTGCTCTGGGTAGAATAGACATTTTAACTATTTGTTCTTCCAATGCATGAGCATGGAATATTTTATTTATTTTTAAAGACTTTATTTATTTATTTGAGATAGAGAGAGAACACAAGCAGGGGGCAGAGGGAGAGGGAGAAGCAGGCTCCCCACTGAGCAGCGAGCCCAATGCTGGGCTTGATCCCAGGACCCTGGGATCATTAACTTGAGCTTAAGGTAGATGCTTAACTGACTAAGCCACCCAGACTGACTAAGCCACCCAACAATTTTATTTTTAAGTAGTCTCCATATGAGACATGGGACTCAATCTCACAACCCAGAGATCAAGAGTTGCATGCTCTACTGTCCAGCCAGCCAGGTGCCCTAGTGAAGTACTGTAAATCATCAGCTAAAGCTTTAGGTTCTTCTTCAGACCTGTTCAAAACAAAGACTTAGAAACCACCTAGATTACAGAAGGATTCATTCTGCAGTCATCAGAGCCTGTCCCCTTCTGGTTTCTGGGAAGCACCACCTCACTTATAAACACTCATTCTAAGACAGCGTCCTTGCCAGGAGTTTGTCACCTGGGTGACGTAAGATGATGCCAACATTTCTTACTCATGCTCTCTCTTTGGTCTCTCAAGTCACTTCCTCAGGAGCAAGGCCTTCTTTGAGTGAAGTTATCATCATCCTAATAACCCTGCTCTACACTCTGTCTGAATGAACATATCGGCCAAAACACTCCACTGAAATACCAAAATACCCACTCTTAGGAGAAGAAAAGGAAAGACACCAAGTCTGAATTCAAGTTTTTGGTGCTTTCTATGTGAGGCTTGTCTGAAAGCATTATTTAAATTGTGCTTTGTTTTGATGCTCTAAAATAGCACCGTCCAATAGAAACATAATGTGACCCACATATGTAATCTAAAATTTTCTATGTGAAACTAATAACGTATATAATGCAATTCATTTGGCTTTTGAACAATATGGGTTTAAACTGCATGGGTACACTTAAATGTGGCATTTTTTCAATCAGTATAGTTCAGTATTTTCTTCTTCTATATTCTTCAGTATGGTTTCAGTATTTTCTCTTCCTTATGATTTTCTTAATATTTTCTTTTCTCAGGGTGCCCAGGTGGCTCAGTCGGTTAAGCGGCTGCCTTTGGCTCAGGTCATGATCCTGGGGTCCCGGGATGGAGTCCCACAGCAGGCTCCCTGCTCAGCGGAGAGCCTGCTTCTCCCTCTCCCTCTGGCTGCTGCTCTGCCTACTTGTACTCTCTGTGTGTCAAATAAATAAAACCTTTAAAAAGTATCTTCTTTTCTTTGGTTTACCCTACTATAAGAATATAGTATATAACATACAACACATAACATACAAAATATGTGTTAATTGATTGTTTATGTTATCACTGAGGCTTCCGGTGAACAGTATGTTATTAGTAATTAAGTTTTAGGGAGTGAAAAGGTATACTTGGATTTGTGATGGCGTGGCCGGGGGTGGGGGGGTCTGTGCCTCTGACCTCCATGTTGTTCAAGGGTCAGGTGTATCATTTCAACAGTCAATATAAAAAACGGAAAATGAGATCCTTTACATTCTTCTTGTTTTTTGGTCCTAAGTCCTTGAAATCCTGTAGCATTTGATACAAACAGCAAACCTGGATGTTGACCAGCTACATTTCAGGTACTGAATACCCACATGGGACTAGTGGCTACTGGACTGGATAGCCCAGTCCTTGAGGCACACACTGTAGTGAGGTTTGGGATGGATAAGAGAGGTCTTCTGTTTTTGTAAAGACTATTTTGAACAGAAGTGTCTTGAAAGGAAAACAAGCCTCTCCATGCCCTCAGAGAGCTTTGAAAGCTATTTTTGACCCTGGGCTTTCGCAGTATAACTGTACAAAGGGGCCTTGGTATATTCCAGGAAATAGAGTACCTCAGTTTGAAGACCCTCTTTTAAGATAGATTCTAGCTGCCGAAGTTTTGGGGAATGATGCAAAGATGATGAAATTATATGTCTGTATCTTCTGAAGAAGGCCTAGTCAACTATCCTTCTAAAATGCTGGGCCGAGTAAAAAGAAAAAATCACGAGACAAAATATTAGCCACAAGATCCAGAAAGTCCTTGTTACTTTGTCAGCAATAGGCTGGTATGATTTTTAGGGTAAGGTTGACAAGCTACCTTATCACAAGCAGAGGGTTTTGGGTAATGGTAGGGTGATGTTTTCCTCTCTTAATGTGATGGAGATAAGATGAGGTTATATGTGAATCATCAACCTAACATCAGACTACTTGAGGAGGGGAAGCTATCCAACATATGTTATGGCACAGAAGTGACAAAGAATCTCTTCTTTGCCTTAATTTTCTTGGGAAACCACTACAGTTTGCCCCTTTGGGTTTTTAAAAGTTCAAGTGTGCCACATGAATGATGGGCTTCCTTGCCAAAGGAACCCATATGCTTGTCCTAAAAGACAAGTACAAGGAAGTGGTTTATGATACCATCTCCGTTTGCTTAAGGCTAAGGCTTAGGATGCGTAGGCTGCCAGGAGAAAATCCCACAGACTGGGTGGCATAAACAGCAGAAATTTATTTCTCACAGTTCTGGCGGCTGGAAGTCAGGGATCAGGGTGCCAGTATGGTCAGGTTCTGTGGAGAGCTCTCTTCTGGTTTGCATACTGCTGACTTCTTGTATCCTCACCTGGCAGAGAGCAGAGAGGGGAAAGCAGACTCTCTCATGACTCTTTGAAAGGCCCTAATCTCATTCAGGAGGGCTCCAGCTTCTGACCTCATTTGATTCATCTTATTACCTCCCAAAGTCCTGCCTCCTAATACCATCCTATTGTGAAGTAGGGTTTCGACATAGGAAGGGGGATGGTGGTGTGGAGCACAAACGTTTAGTCGGGAACACCAAATATAGTCACTTTGGGGGTTAGAGTTTCAACATATGAATTTATGGGGGATACATTTCAGTCCAAAGCAGATATTAAGGTTTGGAAGAGTATGGAATTCCATTTCAGAAGCTCTCTAAATAAAGTGAGATTCTCATCTGCCTGGATGATTGCTTTAGGATGAAATTCTATTTAGCTAGAGGCCAATGACTGGTTTAACATTTTCCAGAATCCCAAGTTTTTGTATAACATCACTCTGTCTGTCATCTCCTTATATAAGTTTAATTTTCATGACAAAATAAATTTCATTATGACCCATACTTCTCCCAAGAAAAACTCTTGGGGACAGTTTTGGGGCTTTCTAGGTAAATTAATACTGTTGCAAGATATTTTTTCTAATGAACTATTTCCCCCATTTTTTTTTTTTCTATTTAACGTTATTTCTTTGAGTTTCAGAACTGCCAAAACGTGGTAGCCCCCCCCACCCCAATTCTGTTTAAGGTAATGAGCATGCCACAATCCGGGGGTATGCTGGAAAAGTCAAGTAGAAGTTGGCTATTCCTAGAGTAGTTAATTTCTAAGTGAAACTAACAATACTTCCTTTCAAGCTTGAGAGGTACATAACCTATGAAACAAGAATAAACTAAAAAGTACTTTTCCTGTTAGTACTTTTGAAATTGATGTACATTATATACTTGAAATCTTTTTTTTTTTAAATTGCTATGACATTGGGAAATTCCATAGAGTAAAAATGGAAGGTGTTTTGACTTTGCTGTAAAATGTGAGTTTGTGGTACTGAAATTTTACTATGGATCCAAGTTGGCTACGCAACCAACTTGAACTAAATTCCTTACAGAGAATTCATCAAACAAGAAACATCCTGAATAGAGGTTTGGCCCTGTTCCTCGTGAAGATATTATAAATAAGGGCTGCTGTTTTCCAAGAAAAGGAACTCAGTCTTTCATGAATTAACTATTTTAGGCAAGGCAACTGAAGAGGTAGTTAGTTACCTTAATCCAGGGTGATTCAAAATCCAAGTTGCCAAGTGTAAGGACTTACAAATTACAATGTCATCATATAACTTTCAGTTATCAAATGAGGAATAAATCAAAGGAGAAGCCGGAAACTAATTGGGATTGTTCTGGTGATGTCATTACATTAGGCTTTTACATATGTTTATGGACTTTTACAAAGTCCATACAAACTTTTTACAAAAGTTTATGGACTTTTATTTTTATTTATTCATCTTGACATAAGAATAGGCTAGTTATAATTATTTCACAGTTCTTAGGTTTACCTCTCACAAATTCCTCTAAGAAACTCTAATTTTTGAATTAGTTTAACACACTTGCTCTCTAATAATTTAGTCCTGTAATGTCAGTAAAAATTGACCACATCCCCAATGTGCATATATTAAAAATGTATGTGTACTTCTGTGTTTATTATGTATACTATAAAACATATACAAAATAGGAAGTTTAAAAAGGTTAAAGATGAAACATTGACATTAAAAATTTTCTATCTAAGTGCAAAATAAGAACAAGGTAGCTAGATATTCATCATTATTTTGGAAAGTCTTGGTTTAACAGTTTGTGATGTGGTGATTTGATTTTTCCTATATAATAGACTTTATTTTTTGGAATAGTTTATGTTTACAGAAAAATGGAGAAGCTAGTACAGAGTTTCTATATACTCTACACCCAATCTCCCCTGCTGATAACATCTTACTTTAGTATGGTACATTTATTACAGTTAATGAATCAGTACAGATATGTTATTATCTTTTTAAAGATTTATTTATTTGAGAGAGAGAGCATAAAAGGGGTAATGGGAAGAGAGAGAGGGAGAGAATCTCAAGCAGACTCTGTGCTGAGTACAGAGCCTGACCTGGGGCTCAATCCCACAACCCTGAGATCATGAACTAAGCAAAAACCAAGAGTAGGACACTCAGCTGAGCCACCCAGTACATTATTATTAACTAAGGTGATAGTTTACTTAACTTTTTTTTAAGGAAGAATTTTTTTGTTTCAGGATCCCTACCAGGACACCACATTACATTTACTGTCAGTCCATCTCCTTGGGCTCCTCTTGACTGCGTTAGTTTCTCAGACTCTTGGTGATTTTGATGACCTTGACAGTTTTGAACAATACTGGTCAAGTATTTTGTAGGCTGCCCCTCTAATGGAATTTGTAATCTGTCCAGTTTTTCTCATGACTGGACTGGGGTTATGGGTTTTTGGAAGATCACAGAAGCGCAGAGCCATTTTCATCAGATCCCATCTATCACGGTTCCAATCCACTGACATGATTTATTGCCGAGCCCAGGTTACATGGTGAGTTGTGACGCACAGAGAAGCATTCTTCCTCTAATAAGGTCCAGTGCAGGCCAAAAGCTGTTTCTCAAAGGGAGAGTAACTTCCACAGAAGGTAGCAGGGCTTTAGTCCCAAATCCTAAGACTTGCCTTGTGACTCACTTATAAATGCTTGCCAAGGACTCCAAAAGTGTCTCCATCTGCCACTCCAAGCTCCACTGGGTCTACTGGGTCCTATGACCCAAATGGCAGAGCCACTTGCACAATAGCCTGGACCCATGGCAGAGATTTCTCTTTTCTCACTAGGTGTTGGGCCTCTTCCTATAATAGTTACTTCCTTTAGTAACAACTTGTCCTTCACCTTTAAAGTGGTATCTTGATGAATCCCATACTACTGCACCCCTAGTAATTTCCCTGAGGAAGAAGGCCCTTGAGTCTTGGAGGATTTATTTTTCCATCCTCTGATATGCAAATATCTTACCAATATGTGTACAGTAATTGCTACATCCTACCTACCAGTGCCAATCAGTATATCATCTTCAATGGAATGGACTAGTGTGATTTTCTGTGGAAGGGAAAGGAGGTCTTTGCAGACTAAATCATGACACAGGGCCAAAGAGTTGTTATATCTTGTGGTGGGACAGTGAAGGTGAATCGCTGGCCTTGTCAGTTGAAAGTTAATTCCTTCTGGTAGACTTTTTCAACAGGTATAAAGGGAAAAAGCATTTGCCAGATCAACAGCTATATACCTAGTACTAGAAGTGTTGATTTGTCCAGACAAGGAAACCACATGTGGAGTGGCAGTGTAACTAGAATCACCACATCATTCAATTTATGAAAATCCAGTCATTCCCTGAGATCCATTTGTCTTGTGCACATGCCAAACAGGCAAGGTGAAAGGGATGTAGTAGCTACCACAACCTCTGCAACCTTCAAGTCTTTGGTGGTAGTGCTAATCTCTGCAATCCCTCCAAGAACGTGGCATTGCTTTTGGTTTACATTTTTACAGACAGGAAAAGTTCTAGTGTCTTCCATTTGGCCTCTTCTAAAATAACCACCTTCACTCTATAGCTCAGGGGACCAATGTGGGACCAATGTGGGAATTCTGCTAGTTGCTGAGCATGTTTATTCTAATTACACATTCTGGAATTGGGAAGTAACCACAGGTTGTGTTCAGAAACCCACTGGGCCTAATGTGAGATGAACCTGAGCTAGAACTCTTTTAATCACTTGACCTCCACAAGCCCCTACTCTGGTTCATACACATAATGATATTGTGGGTTTCCGTGAAGCAGTGTCAAGTTAGAGCCATTGTCTACTAATCTCCCAAAGTCTGCTTATTTCCTTTCCCCCAGTGGGCAGTCACCCTGGTAGATGGGCATAGGACTCTTTGGGGAAGGCTGGGGACAAATTAACAATATACATTTTTAGCAAAAGAGCAATGTCCTTCCCCAAGAGGACTTGGCTTCCCCTTCATTCAAAGAGTTCTGAGTGTATAAACTGGTTCAAGTGTGGAAAATGACAGAGGGGCAGTGATGCTCTGTTCTGGTGGTGCAAGTCAGGACTTCTGTTTGCTAAACCTAGAACTTTTCTGCTAATACCATATGAATTCAGCAGACTGTCCACTTCTTCTTTTCCCTAGGGACATTAAGATCAACTGGCCATGTCATAGGTCTCTGCAAGTCAGACAATTCTGATTACTACTTCAGTTCAGGTGTCCATTACAGCAACCACACCCATCTAGTTTTTGACAATTAAGTGCCACCCCTTGGTCCCTGCCATCCTAGGATCCCATTATCCCCAGTGCATTTAGAAATCCCAGTTTGTGTAGTTTCCACTGTAAGATTTATCTGACTACAGAGAATGCAGATCTCTTCAAAGATGCTGGGGCTTCACTCATAGATTTACTTCCCAGAGTCACGGTGAAGGGTAATGTCCTTTGGACCCTCCTGGGGTGGGTGAGCAGGTCTTACATGATAAATGCACTCTAACATGTCAACTCCCTTTACCCCCAAGCCTTTGGATACCTTTCTCAATAGTATCCCAGGCAGTTCTGGCACTTCATTTAGTGTAGGCACTTTGGGGAGGATGGAAGTCAAGTGATCAGTAGAGTTTCGCTCAAGTCCTTCTCCTAGTGGGTCCAGGGGGTCTGTTAGCCCATTTTATGATTATGTTCCCAGATTTACATGCATAATAGAAAAAGACATACTCAGCAACCATTCAAACAAACTGTTAAACTTTTTCTAACCGTTGGAGGTAACATTTTGTATCTAAAATATCTGCTTGGTGGGCCCTTATCAGTAAATTCAGCCTGATAGAATTTTGTAAGTCTTCATCTTGATCTGTTAGTTTGCTATGGCTGCTATAGCAAAGGACCACAAACTGAGGGCTTAAAGAAACAGAAATCTATTCTCTCACAGTTCTGGAGGACAGATGCCTGAAATCACGTTATTAGGAGGGCCACACTTCTTTGGGATCATCTTTCTTTGCCCTTTTCTAGCTACTAATGGCCCCCAGCATTTCTCTGTGTATTGTTACAACACTCTAATCTCTGTCTGTCTTCATATGTTCTTATTTCCTGTGACTATATATTTCTGCATCCTCTCCTATTATAAGGACACTAGTCATTTGATTTCTGGCCCACCCTAAGGCATTATGACCTCACCTTAACCTCATCTACAAAAACCCTATTTTCAAATAGGTCACACTGAGGTTCCAAGTGGACAAGAATTTGGGGAGACACTATTCAACCCACTATAATCCCACATCCTTAATAGCCACTGGGAATATAACTCCTGTATTCTTTTGCATGCTCTGAATATTTTTAGCATGTGTATTTTTCAAAATTAAAGGAAAAAACTCACTCCATTGTTCTTTGCCTCAAAATACAAATATTTTACCCCTATTTTTCCAGTTTTATTGAGAAATAACTGATACACATCACTGTATGAATTTAAGGTATGCAGCATGATGGTTTGATTTACATGTATTGTGAAATGATTACCACAACTGGTTTAATTAACAACCATCATCTCATATAGATAAAACAAATTCTCTTGTTATTAGAATTCCTAGGATCTACTCTTAACAGCTTGGCTATGTATCACACAGCAGCGTTAGACACAGTCATCACACTGTACATTACATCCCTAGTATTATTTATCTTACAACAGGAAGTTTGTGTCTTTGGACCACTTTTCTCCAATATTCTTGGAGAAGAAGTATTCTTTCCATCCAATTTCTTCCTTTGATGCCCACTACTATCTAGTCTCCTCAAACTGGACTACCCGTCTTGCCCTTTCCCAATCTTTTCTCTAACAGAGTCATCTTGTCAAATAGTCGCCACCTTCCAACTTTTAGCGAAGATCAAGCAGAAGCTCCCTTCCCAGCCTAAGGAAGCTTTTCTCCATCTGGTCTCCAGCATCCTCCTTCCAGTAATACCCCTTGCACCCCCGACCGCTCCTCATCTTTCTCCCCAGAGATGAAACATTTCGGTTTCTCCTGATCTCTGAGGTCTCTAAGCACCTTCCCTTTGCTCGTATTCCCCGTACATCAAATTTCCCTTCAAAGACTACGGCCCACACTCTTAAGTGCGGAGCTTGCTCAACTGCACAGAACCAGTTCACCCTCCCGCCCTCACAAAGGGGAGGGACCTAACTCCCAGCCCTCGACAAGCCTGACCCCACACCCGACACCAAAGCTCTCCGGGCTCCAGGGCGGGTCGTGACGGAGTTGTCACTCGGGGAAGGCCAGGCAAGCCGCACATCTCTCAGTCTGCCCACATCCTTCGTTCTGTGGTTGAGGAAATCCCGCCCGGCTCTGAAGCCCAGACTGACACTGCAAGGTGCTCAAAAGCGCTGGCGCTCTTCACACCCTGGGCGGGCCTTCCTCCTCCTCACCGAGGATGAGATCCTTCGCTCGTCCAGCGTTTTCCCTCCCTCTCACCTCCTGGGCTGGCCGCAACATCCAGGGAAAGCCAGACGCGCGGGGAACTCCAGCGAGGACCAGCTGTGTGGAGCATGCGCAGTGTCCGCACCACGCAGGCCGCCGTATTGGCCCGCGGCTCAGCTTGCGCAGCGGCTTGCGCAGGCGCCGCGACGAAGGGCTCCCCGCCCACCCCATCCTAGCGGGCCACGCCCCCTCATCGCGGGTCAGAGGCCGCGGGGCGGGTGGGGGTGACGCGTGCGGAAGCGTCCTGCGCAGCCTCGGAAGCCGGCGGGCTGTAGAACGGCGGCGGCCACGGCCGGGCCCCTCAACGGGAGGGGCCCCGGATCGCTCGGAGCGGCGGAACCGCTGTGGCGCCCCTGCCGCCGGCGGTCCCATGAGTCGGGGCACCATGCCTCAGCCCGGAGCGTGGCCGGGCGCGAGCCGTGCTGAGAAGCTGGTGCGGGAGGCGGGGGCCGCGTCTCCGGGCCCCACTAGAGCGGCGGCGCGGGAGGGCGGGAAGGCGGCGGCTGGTGGGCAGCCGCGGACCGCGGTGCGGTGCCCAGCCGAGCAGTGAGTCGCGGGGCGCGGCGGGGGCGGGCGGGGGCGCCAGGCTCGTTCCCCTTGGGGAGGCTGGGCGTGGGCTGGGCTGGGCTGGGCTGGGGAGTAGCCGGCCGAGAGCCCTTCTCACCCTTGGTTCTGGGTAAGGTCGGCGACGGAGTGGAATTCAGACACTTGTGTCCAGTCTTCGTACAAAATGTTTTTCCGCAGGGCCCAGGGTCTCACAATTCTGGTCATCCAGTGCCCCTGTTTCTACATCTGCATAGCTCTAAAGTTAAAAGAAAGCTCCAGGAACTTGGGAAACAAACTGGAAAAGCGTACTGTTATAACTCAGTGAATCTTTCCTCCGACCTGGTTGGGGAAGTAAGGTTGCTTCTATCACAGCCAAAGGAAAACTGAGCCATGCGACAAGTTTGTTCTTGAAAGGCAAGTCGCCGCTTGATGAGCGCTCCACCTGTTGAACAGACTTTGGTCGGAGTCTGACCCAATTCTCTTTTGCCCATTAACGGCTTAACTAGCTGTCCCCCTCCCCCTTTATTTTTAAATAGGAAAGGCAGCCTGGTTAGATCAGTTATTTAGTGAGTTGTGAGGAAGGCAGCACAAACCGGAGGCGTTTATATTTTTAGCAAGGATCTGGAAGTGAGGTGCAGGCAGAATATAGACTTGAAGACGAACTTTTTCTACGCTTTCAGATTCTAGGCGCATGCAAATGCCTTTGAATTCCAGAATTGATGAAAGCACTCAGATAACCATTCTGACAGCTTAATTGGCTGGCAAGTTGAATTGTAAGGTGTGTTCAAATGTGATTTCTCCTCCCCCCCTTTGGGCAAGGGGTCCTTGGTGGGCCTGCTGTGCAGCTCGTTTATTATAATGATGTTGATGTGCACGGTTCTTGACCATGGTGTTGACCTTCTCATTTATTGAGCACCTAAGGCCTCTGGAATGGTATTATCCACACTTAGTGTGTTCATGGCTACTGGGAAAGATTTGGAGTAGGCAGTCTCAAACTCCTACCTATGCAGGTAACCTAGGTGAGTGAGGCTGGCCAGGTGTGGACCATGGGTTTCTGGAGAGCTGTGTCCCTCGCTGTTGGGGTCAGTCCAGGAGGTTCTTCCCTCTGCTTGCTGAATTTTCTGTATTTCAAGAGTCCAAATATCCTGAATTTTTAATGAAATATCCTGATTTTTAAAGACTAGCATTTTCTTTAACTAAAACCGCTGTGCAGGCCCATGTGGGAGCTGATGTTGGTTTGCTCTTTGGGTTAGAAAACGACCTCAGACTCCTCAGAGGGTAAAATAGAATGGGCAGGGAGGGCGAGAGGGGGTGTCTTCTGCTTCTGCCCCTCCGCAGCCCGTGCTGGTTACTAACTGCTGCTGCCTTCCTCTTGCCCTGGTGGCCAGTGATGTAACTCCCTGGTTAGAGACCCTGCCCCTCAGAAGCTGCACCTTAGCCTTGAGTGGAGCATTCTAATGCCCCTTCTAGATGCAGAAACTTTGAATCCAGAACCATGTTTCTAAAAGTATGTATAGTTATTTGGCAAGTTTTTGGATGTGGTTTCCAGGGTCAGAACCTGGGGAAATAGGCCATGGTGGGAAGGAGCACTCTTTCTCAATGAAAAGGTTTTGAGACACACCTCTTACCGCTGTCAGTAGATTTATAGACTTAGTCTGAAAGGAAACACAGGGGGGAAAAAAAAACAGCCTAGGTTTGTCATCTTACACAGGAGGAAACTGAGTGCTGGATTCCAGAGGTCCTTCTTGGCCAGGGAGACAGGGAGTAGGTTTCTGGGCCACATTCCCTGATGCTTTGATGGGAACATACCCCCATCTTTTTCTGGCTTTCTCAGCAAAACCAGGCAGAGGAACATGATTTATGACTCTCCCCTTACCTCATCTAGCTCATTTGAGAACGGGGGTTGGTTGGCATCCCCTGGACAAACCCTAAGGATGGCTCACAAGATGGCTTATGGTCTGATTTGAAGAAGTCTTAGGTCACACCAGATTTGGTTGACTTTTCTTGGAGCTTCCTCACTGTTTCTGTGAGCACATCTGCTGTGCGCTATCCCCTGCTCACCCCACCCCTGCATTTGAAACTGAGGCTGTGTCCGTTTCTTGCCCTTAGCTAAATAAGTTACTGTTTCTGAGGACCAAAATGGTCCCGAGACATGGTCGGTGGCCAGGCTAGACGAGCTCAGGGAACTGAGAAGCATGACTACTTCAACGCCCGTCTTTGCCTGCCTGATGGTGGGACATGGTTTGAATCTAGGGTCCATAGGCTTGTTGTATGTGGTGGGGAGCATATGTCTGTGAACCCCTCTGAAATTGAAGGTGAAATTTGATGTGTATTTGTTTTTATGGGCTGAGGTTCTGATGGGAGCTATGGATTTTCAAAAGGGCTGTGCACAACGAGTTTTTAAACCATTGTTCTTGGATGTTGCCAATATGCTGTCGTGGGAGTGTGTTTTCCCACTCGCCTCACTCCTTAGCTCCTGTGGGATATGTTTGATGGGGTAACAGCCATTCCCTCATTCTCTCTTCCCCCTTCTCCAACCTGGAAGTAAAGACTGTTTCAAACCTCATTGTTGAGGATATCTGGGTTGTCCCCAGATACCTCTGGAAGTCACGTGGAGTAGCACGAGCCAGTCATGGAAAGTCCACTTGCAGAAGGGGGTGGAATTTTGGCTTGGGTGCCGGTACTTTCCTGCATTTGATGTGTTGTTCACCCATCTCTACAACCGCGAAGTGGTGGAGAAAGGCTGGGTTGAGTGGTCTTTGCTTTTCCTGTACCTTTGTGGGAAGGTACATTGGTGTCACAGTGGTTGACACTGTCTTACCAGCACTGCCTGGGTGATGGGTCTTCTGTGATAGGCCAAGTTAAGCATGAACTGCAACGTTCAAGTTCAGAAAGCTGAACAAAGCCATACTTAGCTTTTTTAGACAACTAAGGGGAACTTAATGCAAATGTTCATAATGGTGAGAGAGTCCAATACTGTCTTGTTAGTTTTGCATGTATGTTAGAATTGACTTTTTTCATATTACATGTTGTATCAGAAATTGAAAAATTGGCTCTACAGAAGTGTCTTGCTTCACTGAGCTCTGTGTTTTCAGTTGATAGCTTTTGTTCTTGGCAACAGTTTAATTGTGTCTGTATGTAGTAAGCATTTTTAAGTTAAAGTTTCAAACATTTTATTGTTACGCAGTTCTTCAAATAGAGCGAGAGAGATTATAATGTGGTCTGCAGAATCATATAATTTATTCAATCACGTATATTGCCTCAATATTAAGATTATTTCATCTCTAGCTTAAAAGAAAACCAGAGCTTGAAAATACACACTTTAAAATAGCAGTGTGCTAAACTAAGAATTTTCTAAGTAGAACGTATTGGATTTTGGTTTTAAAATTTAACTCAATTATGTAATTGAGCCTGACTCACATGCCATGGTCCACAAGAAATCAAGTCATATTTAAGACTTTGGCTTACTTTTCTAGCTATCTGTATGTTTTCTAGAAGGAAACCTTTTGCCGTGGTGATCATTTGAGTCTTTGGGTTTCAGTGGCCTGTTGAGTGCTAAACAGTAGACACTTCCCATCCCCTCCCAAGTTGACATATAAACACAAAAGTTTACTAAATTTCTGAAGCTGGTCAGTATCAACGATTTTATCTTACAATGCATATCCTTTTTCTTTTCATTATTTCACTATCTTCCCTTCTCAAAACAAAAAATTCAAACCTCTAGTTTAAATATAATAAATATACAACAAACAAATAATATGTAAATATAAAATATAAATAAATATATATGTGTAATATATAAATATTTTATTTTGTCATTTTCAACCTTAATATTTTGATACTTAAACAGGTTAAAGCAATAGATTATTGAGTCAACTATTTTCCTAAGTAAAATTATTATTTTTCTTGTTCTCACACACCTCTCTCTCTCTTTCTCTCTCCAGCTGGTTGTCCTTATGTGGGATGACTATTTCATTTTGGCTGTTAAATATCTTCTTTTCTGACCATAGTAATTGAATGTATTGCTTAAACTTAAAATTTGTTCTCTCTGCAAGAAATTACAGCTTTAGTATCATTTTTATGGTAGCCTTTAAAGGCCATATGACAGTTTCCCTAGTGGCCTTTTAAAGTTAGCAAATGTCCTTGGATATTGTCCTTGGTGGCCAGGGAAGTTAGCAAACATTCGTGCACAGGATCTGAATGAAATCTGGTTGTGGTTAAAGTAATTGAATGCACTCGGGCCTCCCATTCACCCATTTCTGCTTTGCTGCTTTTGTATATCTTGAATCAGTGCTTTTTATTTCCAATAATCTTCCTTTCTACTTCGTCTTCCCTTCGCATTTAGTTCTCACGTTGATTTCTTTTTGTTCCATTCCTGCTGGCCTTCGTGGGAATTTATATGTGTACAAGAGAGGCTTGTTCAGAGAACTTCCTCTGGGCACTTGGGTTATTTTGCAGATTAAAAAGGAAGAGGACAGAGGTGGAGCCAAATGTGCCTGCAGCATAGCCACAGGATTCGCTTGAAGTATAGTTTTTAACAACACGTAGATTCATAGTCTCATAGAACTTAAGACCTGGAAGAGGAACCATGTAGATCGTATAGACCTTGTCTGCTCTTCTTACTTTGAAGATGAGAGAAACTAAGGCCAGGATTAGGGAAGTGGCTTGCCCAAATTCATGCTTCTGATGATATCAAGAAAGTGGTTCACTTCGATGCTTATTTTGTAGGATCAGAATTTCTCTCCTATTTGATAAAGCTAAGGAGGAGGCCAAAAGGTACAATGAAGTTATTAAAAGAAGAACTAACATATTTAGTCACTTTTTATTTTAGGCATTTGATGTATAGTCCCTGTGTATCTGGTTTTGGTTTGCTTTTACCTCTGGCATGACAGCATACATTTTACGTGGAATCTCATGGGGGTCAGAGAACATGGAAAGTACCTTTTCCTAATACGTTCCCTCAGCCCCACAGTATTTAAAAAAAAATGGGCACACCCACACCCATATCATTACCTTTATTTAAAGAGAAAAAAAGGAGTAAGAAATGACCATTGGGTGAATTATTTGTTAATACTGTGCACCAGTGGTGTAGTTTGAGAATGAGAACAGCTAACTTTTGGGAGAGCTAATATTTTACATGTGTTCTTTTTCACAACAGTCTTTTGAGGTGAGTTCTCTCACTGTCCTTTTTGTGGTGGTTAAATTTAAGTGGTTAAATTTAGGCTCCGAGAGGTATAGTTACTTCAGTTCCATGGCCACACACACAGGGCTAATGAGGGCTGGAGCGAGGAGTCGTTAAAACCTGACCTTGTAACTTTGGGGTCCCTGCTCTAGCTCCGGCACTCTGCAGCCGCGTCAGCCAACCGCACGTGTCCTGATGTCGTAGGTAGTGAGTCATTCCGGCAGAGGGAATGGATTGAGCCAATGACAGGTGTAAAAGCATAGGCTAGTGTCGGTCAGGTGTTTGGACTGAAGGGGGGGATGTGTAGAGGAATCCTGGAATCCAGGCTAGCGTGGTGGGTCAGGTCCGCATGTAGCCGTCGCTGCTAATTTGAGAGCCAGTAAAGGGTTTCAGTGAGGTGGGCAAGGTGGGGATAGCAGATGGCTCTCAGTATCCCTTCATCTTTCTCTTACTCCTGCTGGCCTCTTCGTCCTCTTTCCCCCTGCTGTGCTGAGCCTTGTACCAGGAGCTGGGCTGTCGAGGGAATTGGGAATGGGAGTATCTCAGGTCGTTTGCTTAATTCCGTACTTGTTACTAATCTTACTAACTCCTTCCCGTGTCTCCTTGCGCCTGGAGCCTCTGTCTGGTGTGCAGGGTGGGCTGTGCAGCCGTGGGGAGGAAGTATAGGGAATTGGGCATCTGATTACACTTTATGTGTACTTTGGCCAGTTTCCTCCTTTTCAGCTCTGGGGGGTCTCCTGTACCCTGAAAAATGCTTGGCACTGCCAGTTCCTGAGCCCCTCTAGGGTTTTCTGCAGGTTTACTGTCTTAACTGTCCAGCAGATGTTCCTCTGCTGGCATGGAGGCCTTCCTGTCCTCGGTCATTTACTGTTTCTTTGTCCCTTTTTGGACTGTTTGGGTCTTGTGGTTTTAGCAAAGATAGGGTTGGTATTTCTGTTTCTCCTCCTCGTCGGGTTGTGGCTTCTCTTGAGGGGCAAAGCAGATGCCTTTTTTCAGTCCTTGCCTGGCAGCTAGGGGGCTTTTCTGTCCTTTTCTAGCGCACAGTGTATTCTTGTTCACTCACTAGATGAAACTAGAGACTTCAGGAACCTACCGTATAAGGACCAAGTCGACCAGGGTGGCGGCACTTCACGAATGTGGGAGAGAAGGGACGTGCTCCGAGGAGCGGGGCTGGCTGCTGCATGGGGCAGGGGGTGTCGGGAGCAGGAAGAGCCTCGGGAGGGTTTTTGGCTTTGGGGACTTAAAATGATTGATGGTCTCCTATCCTTGTTTTTAAAGTAGTGATTGTAAAATTTGCTTGTGACATAATAAAGCACTTGGCCTGCATTCCTGTGTAAATACTTTTATTAGTGTTGTCTCCATTTTTGGAACTTCATAGCATCGTGACGAGGCTTCATTGATAAGACGCGTGCTACGATGCTTACGAGTGTAGCTGAGCTCCCATTCATAGACGTTCCAGTTCAAGTGGCCTCAGAGCCAGCAGCCAGTGGAGTGATGTGAAAGTGTCACTTTTAAATTAAGAAGCTCTGAAGTAGAATGATAGACGCATGAGCATCCAAGATTTAAGATCCATATTTTACCAGATCATCATCATGTAATATGAAAAAAGCTACACTTTTAGTGTCTGATAAATTTTTTAAGAATTTGAAATGTCAGTGCAACACATTTTTGAAATGTCTGATTTGGTGTGATTTCAGTGAGGAGGACATGTATCGTGACGCGGAAGAAATAGAAAAGGAGAAAGAATTACTTACACATGAAAGAGGGTTATCAGGTATGTTTGGAATCATTTTATTCATCGAGTTCTTACTGTTTATAGTAGGAAATGCAGTAAGTCGATATAGCCATTTTCATAAAATGCTGGGATGTGCTTCCTAGGAAGCATTCTTATGCGTATGGTCTTAGCTGCGTCGGATTGTTCATTTTGCTGAGGTTTGTTTGGGGAGTACTGTTTCTCAGCTTTTAAAATCGTAATGCAGATATTCTCCCTGTGTTCTTTACATTCACATCATTTTTGCCCCTGCGAGGATTTGTTCACTCTCTTGACGCCGCCCTCTAGTTCCGTGATTTCCGTCATATTCTTAGAAGGAGAGTTTGGAGTTGAAATGCACTTTCCATTTCAAGTGGAAGGGCTTGTTGGGAAGCTGGCTCTGTGTGTCTTTGCACACAAATGGCCTTGTAAGAAAGAATGATCCTGGGATCAGTAGTGGGAGTTCTCTCTCGTTTCATGACCTTTTATCCGTGTTTCTGCTCAGTCACACCTGCTCTTCCCCCCTCAAACCCCTCAGATCCCCGCCCCCGTGGGCCCGTTGCTGCTAGGAGGAGGCAGGTGCCCTGGCCGCCTCCACTGCAGGCAGGGCTGGCTGGGCTGTCTGGGGAGAAGAGCCCCCTCGCTTCCCTGGCTGGCTCGGGCTGGAGCCGAGGGGGAATCTGTGCTTGGGGGATCTGCCATAAATGACTCACAAGTGACATTTTCTCTCACTACCTGTGTAACGTACATGTTCTGGTTTGTTCTGAGCACTAGCTTGGGTTTGGTTTACGGTTCACAAAAATATTGTGTGTGTGTAGTTAGGAACATATGATATAAAGTAGGCTTTTAGGTCATTTTGAGGTTTTTCTTGAGTTGTCCTCACAATGACTTGGCAGAACTCTTGACTGGGGTAGCCCCATGGACCAGCTTCTCTGTAGTTGTCCCATCAGGAGTTTTCCTGGGCCACCTGTCCCGGTCCCCCATGGAACCGCAGAGGAGGCTCCGTTTCTGCTGCCACCATCGCACCCCTTTCGTGACGACCTTGGAGTCCTTGTTAGTCTAGCCCTAAGGAGACAGTGCTCCCTCCGTCGCTGTGTGTCCCACCGCCTTCGCAGGGACCTCTTGCTTTCTCTGTCACTCTGCAGGTGCTCTGCTGTGGTTCACCCTGTCCTCGGGGGAAGCCCTCCCTCCGCAGGTGTCGTAGCGGCTGGGAGAGCTGTGTCATTTCCAGCTCTCGCCGAGGTTGCACCTCTGCCCTGCTGGGGTCATTGCCCTTCCTGAAATAAGGTCCTTGCTGAAGTAAGTGCTTCTGCCAGGGGCTGTTCGTGGGAAGCTCTGTTTGCTTGCAAATTGAGTCTCAGCTTTCTTTTTTAAGAACTCTTGGATGAGCAGGTTAATCAGCAGGTTAATCTTTCCGAAGATAAGGTAGTTGACAGTTCTGCAGTCAGACTGATCCTTCCTAGATAATGTGTCCGTTTTTTTCTGTCTTCTCTGTCTTCAGTATTCTGCGGTTTTTTTCTGATGTCTGTTGAATGTGGACTTTTTTTTTTTTTTTTTAAAGATTTTGTTTATTTGTCAGAGAGAGAGAGCAAGCACAGGCAGACAGAGGCAGAGGGAGAAGCAGGCTCCCTGCCGAGCAAGGAGCCCGATGCGGGACTCGATCCCAGGACGCTGGGATCATGACCTGAGCCGAAGGCAGCTGCCCAACCAACTGAGCCACCCAGGCGTCCCTGAGTGTGGACTTTTAAAAGCCTACTGCTTGCGGTCTTCTTTTGGAATCCCTCCATGCCTAGTTTTCATTAGTTTGGGAGAATTCGCACCATTATCTTCTTTTCTTATTCTCCCTACTTACTCGTTTCAGAACTCTGAGTAGATGTTTGCTCTCCTGCTTCAGTCATCTGAGGCTCTTCATGACATGCCCTTTCATAGATACATATTTTTAAATTATTTATTAGGGGAGCGTGCGTGGCTCTGTGGGTTGAGCCTCTGCCTTCGGCTCGGGTCGTGATTCAGGGTCCTGGGATTGAGCCCCGCATCTGGCTCTCTGCTTGGTGGGGAGCCTGCTTCCCTTCCTCTCTCTATGCCAGCCTCTCTGCCTGCTTGTGTTCTCTCTTTCTTTGTCAAATAAATAAATAAAATCTTTTAAAAAATTATTTATTTATTTGACAGAGAGAGAGAGACACAGTGAGGGAGGGAACACAGGCAGGGGGAGTGGGAGAGGGAGAAGCAGGCTCCCCGCCAAGCAGGGAACCCATTGTAGGGCTTGACCCCCCAACCCTGGGATCATGACCTGAGCCGAAGGCAGATGCTTAACGACTGAGCCATCCAGGCTCTCCTATAGATATTTTTTTATTGTGTAGCCTCTGTTCCATTCTGGGTAGTTTCTTCAGATCTATTCTCTTTTTTTTTTTTTCATTTTTGGAGATGTTCTGGGGGCGCCTGGCTGGCTCAGTCAGAGGAGCTTGTGGCTCTTGATCTCAGGGTCATAGGTTCGAGCTCCACATTGGGTGTAGAGATTATGTAAAGTCCTAAAAAAAGACAAAAAAAGAAAAGAGAAAGAGAAGTGCTGTTTTCTCCAGATTTGCCTGGCTCTCTTTTTCATAGTTTATTGCTCTTTGCTCATGTTTCTTACTCCTTTTATTTCTTTAAGTATTTAAGACCTACTCCTCTGGGTCTCATAATTTCATTTGCTGAAAATCTTGGCAGGTCTAATTATGGTGGTTGCTGTTTTGCTTACTTTTCGTTTTCCAAAGTTTGGATTGAAAGCTCAGCTTTGGCGTATCTGTGGAGGGCTTGTGCAGTCTGGCCTGAGTGGGAGGGTTCAGCCTTATTCCTGGTAGGCATCCACCGTGTCACCTACCCTGGGCCACATTATGTCACTTTCTAAAATTGAGTTTCCAGGGTCTTGTGGCTAGTCTGAATTCCCGTCCTGACCCTGTATGAGAGCCAGCCTGTGGTTATGAATTCTCAGGGAGACTTCCTCTTTCCCAAGCCAGAGCCCAGGCCAAGGCAGAAAGTTTTCTTATGCTCTCCGTTAGTAAAAAAACAAAAACAAACAAACAAACAAAAAACAACAAACACTCTTCGCTAACAAAGATGTCCCAGGGTCGGCGAAACTATGGCTGCCTGGCCAAATTTGATGAGCCACCTGGTTTTAAAATAAAGTTTTATTGGAACTTCTTTTTTACCTGTTGTTTGTGGTAGCTTTCACACGTGGTAAAGTTGACTAGTTGTGACAGAAACCTTAATGGCCCTCAGAGTCTGTGTTATTTACTCTCTGGCCCATTACAGGAAAAGTACGATTCTCGCCCTGGTCCACCCTCTGACCCCGAGTTCTGGCTTTCTGAAGTTCAGTTTTAAGTTCCCATCTTTCCAGGTTCTGAATCCTTGTCTTTGTCACCATACAGTGGTTAAGGACCAGACCTCCTGGTTATTTGAGCTCCTGATCACCCCTCTGGTTTTTAGCTTCTCCTTTGGGTTTGTTTTGGTTTTGGAGGGTTTTTTTTTTTTTTTTTTGACATTTTTAATGTTCTTTCTTAGAAATAGTAACAGTCTGCGTAGTTTGCATTTAAACGGACGGTCATATACTGTGACTGTCCTATAGTCTAAGCTGTTTGAGGTCAGGCACTGCCTGTCCTTTGCCTCCATCTTCTATCCTGAAGGAGGGCATGCAGGGGCTCTTGGAGCCCTTCTCCCCAAGAACAGCAGTAGGACGGGATTTGAAGTATCATTTTGGTGCCCGCAGCTGTGTGGACATGCCGTTTCCAACCCCACTGCCTCCTGCAGGTCTCTCATCAGTAGGGCTTATGGCTTGTGGCTTGGCCTCCTAACCCGGTGAGGTCCCCTGCCTCCTCCTCTCAGTTTTGAGCCGGTGGACCTGCCCACCGTGCCCACGGGCCAGGGCTTACCTTCGTGTGGGCAGGAATGAGGACTGCAGGCCAGGAGAGCCCGAAGGCTGGACTTCGCGCTCGTGAGGTCCTTCTTGGGCTGGAAATGTGCTCTCTGTTCAGGCTCTTAACGCCTCCTGGTGGGAAAACATGGCCCAAATGATGGCCTCAGTTCTGGATGTTTGCGCTTCCTCCTACTTTGTGGGGAGGTGAGTGAGAAGGCAGATGCAGGGAATTCTTCCTTCCACTGAGTAGACCCTAAAAAAATGTTTCTTGAATCTAAACACTGATGGGTCTGTATTTAGGATCGGCTGTGTGGCTCCGGTATCTGTGGTCTCTGCATAGTGTGCTTCAAGGGTGTGTGTCCCTTGTATGCCAGTCCTAACTTACGCCGCAGAATTGTCTATAACCTGCGAGGAGGACTTCATGCTCCTCACTCATCCCTGCCTCCATCACACCCTGGCTTGTCGGTGCCCGTGGTCTTTCCTTCTTCAGCCGCCTCCCAGTCTGTCCAGGACAGGATCTGGGTCTTCACTGCCTTGGTAACCCTGGTTTCTAGCTCAGTGCCTGGCGCATGGTAGACATTCAGTAAATATGTGTCGTTAATTTATGTCTTTCCTCAGGAGTAAGTACGTTGTAAGGTACTTCTGTCTTTGTATCTTAATTTCCTTGCCAACGTTTACTTCTTCAATAATTTAAAAAGGAAGTCAAGCTATGCCTGAGAATTACTTCACATTTTTCCTAAAACACACATACCCGTGTGCGTGCGTGCATGTATACCACAAAGTCAGCCCCCAAACCTTGTATGTTAAACAAGGAGAATCTAAAGCCCATTTTTTTTTATTAAGTGATTTTTCTGATTGCAAGTTGGATTGTAAATGTCTTACAAGAGTCAAGTGAAGTCTGTAGCTCAGCTAACATTTAGAGCTTCATTAGTTTCTGGCTTATTAATAGTTTGTAGCCTCTTGGGATGAGGGCAGAGTATAAATAAATAAATACACATTTTTTAGTAAGGTTTATCTCTTTGTATAATGGATATAAAAAACTAAGTAACAATCAGTAGGTGTATTTTTTCATAGCTCAGACTCCTGCATGGTGGGTGTGAGTGGAATGGTACTCACGTCGTGTCAGTGACGCTCCGAGCGCTAAGGACACAGCTGAGACACAGAATAAACCCTTGGCCTCAGAGGAACTCGTGCTGTGCTGTGTCTGTGGATGTGGGTGGGAGGGGAGTTTAGGGAGAAGTGGAGAAAAAGAAACATGTGAGGTGTTGATCAGTGCGTAGAAGAAAAACAAAACCGTGTAAGGGGACCAGAGTAAAAGTGTGTATGTGTGACATGATCTATGGGTTTTGGGTGACGTTAGAGCGGAGACCTGTAGGGAGTGCCGGAGCCCCGCAGTATGTGGGAGAGGTCCAGAGGAGGCCACGGGTCGGGCCGGAGCAGTCAGTGAGGAACGGCAGGAGCCGAGGCCAGAGAGGCAGTGGCGGGGGGCGCGCAGGACAGGGGTCCCCTGTAGGAAGTGAGGACATCGATGCCAGTCCCGTGGGAGGCTCTGGAGCTCTCAGAACCCAGGAGTGGTGGCAGTCTGCTTAGTTTGCATTTAAACGGAAGTTTAATGCAGTTGTCTGAAGTTTTAAACGCATCGCTCTGGCTGCTGTGTGGAGAAGGTGTGGTGACACGGGAGACCCACTGGAAGAGCTCCAGGGAGTGAGGGGATGGTGGTAGTGGCGGGATTCTGGATCTGTTTGGAATGAAGGTAGAGGTAGAGTAAGCTGAGTAAAGCAGTGCTGCTATTCTGATGGTGCTTTGTTCTGTTACTCACCCAACCCCCTTTTGATTCTTCTGCAGAAGCCAGGTTAAGTGTAGCTCCTGAAATGGACATCATGGACTACTGCAAAAAAGAATGGCGGGGAAATACACAAAAAGCCACATGTATGAAGAAGGTATGATGTCTAGATACACGAAGTTTCAAGTCTTTAAAGTAGTCTGTCATAAGTGATTGCATAATATGTCCTTTTATATTTTTAGATGTGGTTACAACAACTGTTCTTAGACTAGGTAAATATTGGTGTTCTAATTCTAGAGAGGAGGAAACAGACTCCGAAGGTAAGGAGCTTGTTTTGAGTCACAGTGTTAATATAGGGCCAGCTTTAGCTGTTCAGTAATTCCTTTTCTTTGAAAAATACGATGCTGTGCTGTTCAGAGTTGGGCCAGTCATTGGTTATCCTCTTGGGGTCATTTGGGAATCTCCTTCTGGCCTTTTGTGTTAAAAGCTTTAGGGATGGGACCAGCAGATGCTATCCCAACTGCTGTCCCTACCTGCGTCTGGTCTCCTGCCCTCCTGTCTGAGGGGCCTGGGCTCTCCCACACTCCCTGTGCCCAGGGATCTGAAACTACTTCCTTTGTTTAAGGTGTCCCTAGAGTTCCCCTTCCTGGTCCCATCACGTGATTGATGACTCTTAGGGAGGGACTCCCGTGACGTGGTCCCACTGTGGCTGGGCTGGCCATTGTTCAGCCGGGCCCCCTCTCGCTACATGCTGGTGGAGCCCACAACCCTCTTGGTTCTGCCCTCGACGGACCCTGAAGCCAACATTCCTTAGTGAGTGGAACGATGTGAAATTGCTACTCTCTGAACATTTCTGAACTACAAAAATGGCAGTTTCGACCTAAAACGTCCACCACCTCTTAGAACCTCTGGGTTTATCCTTTGCTCATTTTTCTCTTGGGACTATTTACATTATGAATTTGAATGTACTTCTTTTATATTAGAGATACTGACCTGTCCTATTTGATAGGAATATCTGTTTTGTTGTTTACATCTATATTGTTCAGGATTTAAAATTTTTAAATATTTGTATATATCTGTGCTTTTCCTCAGAGCTGTTTTTATCGAAAACAGTATGCCCCTTTCACGTGCACCGCAGCGCTCCCGCCTGCCCTGAAATGGGCTGGCCTTCCGAACATAGTGGCTACTGCAGTCTGAGAGCCCGTGCTAGCTTTGCTCCCTGCCGGGTCTGAGCTGTGGGCTAGCTGTGTCTTGGGCACTCAGTAGGGAGCTCAGTCATGAAGTGCCTGGGAGGATGAATGTTTACACTTGTGAGGCCGCCTGCTGAATGTGTAAATTCTGGCCACTTACAGGTTTTCCAGACTTGAGCCCGTATCAAACTAGATAACCAGGAGGCTGGATACCTAACATATGTTTTCTCATCTTTTCCAGAAATGCTTTCCCTGACTTCCGGTTTTATTTTATGATCTCAGCCTCTTTAAGGATCTAACAGTTGGCACCTCAGGGTCCATAACTCGAAAGTATCTCTGAAGTTATCCACATCGTCCATATTTTGGAACTCAAGCTAAAACCCTTTCTCTCTGATTTTAGTTTGAGGGAACGGTTTGACCATGGCGTCGGACTATTCCAGTGACCAAATAGTCAAAGGCACATCAGTTGGACCAGGGTCACTTTGGGATCCATGGCAGTAATTAGAGCATCTCAGGGGCCTCAGTTTGGATCTCAAGTTCTTTTTTTGTCCTTATTTGTCTTACAGTTAATTTTGTTTTGGATATTCTTTTGGAAATAAGTTTGTGTAAACCCAAATTTAATTTTTGAAGTTTGATTGGCTTCTGAAATAGCACGAGTGATTCATGCGTTTGGAATATGCAGTTCCGGTTGGGTCAGCCGTCGCGAGTATTCCCAGGGTGACCAGGAGTCCGCCCAAGGGCAAAGGTGTGTCACCGGCCCTTAGTATGTTGTAGCGATTGGAGCGCTGAATGAAAACTCTACTCACACCCACTGAGGTCATCCTATGACTCGAACCTCGAGAACAGCTAATAACGAGGGCCCAGTGCTTGGACAGAGTCTGCATGGCGCCCACCCCACGACGAGGGTGATGCTTCTTCCTTTGTGTAAGTGCAGGGTAGAAAGCAGAGTCTCAGGTGACGGTCACGGCGGAGCAGGAGGAGCAGAAGGGCCCCCAGAACGAGGCTAGTGCAGTGCAGAAGGTAGCAGGTTGATCCTGATACGCGAGCATAATCCCGCCAGAGAAACCCGGGTGTCCCGTGCCCGTGGCCCATTGTATGGTGGCTGTTTTCGGAGGATGCTTCACAGTGGTCCGTTTGGATGGCTGTTCTGAGTGACAGCGTGTATGTCACTCAACATTTTCATGTCCTTGTTTTGCTTCCAGACCAAATGACACTTAAATCCACTTTGTAAAGAGTCTGATAGAATTATCCAGACATCTCCTAGCATGTGGACTGTTTTTACTATACCATGGAAACTTGGGATTTTTAAAAAAAAATTTTTTAAAATACAGAGGTATAAACTTAGTACTTCTCTCTGTTCTTTCCCATCTCTTCATTAGAGTTAGGGTCACTTTTAATGCAGATTAACCCCCTCAGGATGTTGGTTATCAATAAGTGAGTATTATAACAGTTGTTTAGAGAGGGACGTGTAACTCCTGACCTCGGGGTTGGCTAGTGTTTTCATAATATTTGATATATTTTATCAAATGATAATTTGTAATTATTGGTCTTGATTATTGTTTATTAATCTTGATTATTAATAATCATTAATAAATGATATATTTATGTGTTCCTGTGTGTTGTATCTGTTACATATGCTGATGTTTTGTACAGTATTAACATTTGGTAATTTCTTTAGACTAGTAAAGGAAGGAGTTAGAATGGCTTATGTGAGGGACTCAGCCAGCCTTGTTTTCATCCTTCCGGTGATCAGAGGCACGTTTTTTACCTTAGGAGTAAAGCTTTCTGTACGGTCTGAAGTCAATAATGACCATTTTGAATTCTTTGATGATTTTACTCAGGGCTACGAGGAAGTGTCTCAGAAGTTCACCTCCATCAGGCGCGTCCGCGGGGATAATTACTGCGCGCTGAGGGCCACGCTGTTCCAGGCGATGAGCCAGCCGGCGGCACTGCCCCCCTGGCTGCTGGACCCGGAGCTCACGCTGGTACGCTGCTGCCGCAGGTTTGAGTCCACCGTGTTTCCGATCGCTTTTGTGAGAAAGCTCCCTTCCCAGCCGGGCCGGGTGCCGGGGCTGTCCGCAGTGACGTCAGCATGCGGCTTGATTGGTGTTGGGTGGCGGAGATGATTTTGCATAATAAAGTGACCACGAATGATTGCAGTATCCCAGAAGAGAAACATGGTAAAATGTGTTTGAATGGTGCTGCCGAATTCGAGAGCTGGTGTTCGTGGTCTGTAAAAAGCACTTCGGGGTAGTCCGGCTTCAGTGCTGCTGTGTGCAGTAAGTGCGCCGGGCGCTGTTCACCTGAGAGCCTGGCGGGGTTTTAGAATGCGCGTTCTGTGGTTTCCGCTCCAGTTCACGAAATGAGCACCTTCTGCATTGTGCTAAGAGGATCAGTGTAGGGGGTGGCGCGTGTCACCCCGGGAGGGGCTTCCTGGGGGGTGAGGGTCATGGGATGTGTCCCGTGCCCGGCCTTAGTTTTAAATCGGCAGTGTGGTAGTGGCGCCCTAGGGTGTCGTGTCAGTGGGACTTGTGTCTGTGACCTGTATCAGATGAAGTCACAGGATACGTTGGCTGATAGAATATCTCAGAGTGTCTGGCGGGCAGAGCGGAGAATAAGATGTCCATCAGCAGAAAATTGGAAGCGCTGTGCTTCCACACACACCGCAGACGTTGACAAAACCCGAGTCCTCACAGTGGAAGGTCTGCCTTAACGGCAGCTTACAAAGGTCATCAGGATGAATTGATTGGCCTCTCGCAGAGGTCAGCAGGGTGGATCAATGGCAAGCTCAGTCCGAGCCCACATGGCGTGTGGCTGGCAGTGAGAATGAAGCCTTGTCTTGAACACTTCTAAACCACAGGCAGTGACCGTCTCATCTTGAACTGGGCTGGTTACATCCCATCTTGAGGGTTTGTGCCCATGTCCTCTGTACAGATGGGAGTGTCACCGAGATGATTCCTCTTGTTCAGGAACTGTTGAAGGAGCCGGGGTGTTTGCCTGGAGTCAAGATGCTTTTAGAGGAAGCTGGTTGTCCTCTAAGCTTGAGATTAAGTACACGAGAGGTCCCAGGGCCTGAAGGGCACAGGCCGTGGAGGCCTTTCCGCCGGTCTTCGCTTGGAAAGCCCAACTCCCACGGGCCTGAGCGTGTGCGTGACGGCGCAGTGGGACTGGCGGAACCAGGCGTGCAGACGGAGACAGGGTGGCTAATGGAGGCCGCAGGGTGCCCCTTGGTGGCAGGGCACCTGGACCATCTGGCCTCCGGAGTGGGGTCTCCCCACCTCCAGTACTCCTTGTGTGACTGTGATAAGTAACCTCTTTACTATAAAATATTTATTTGGTAACATACTTGCTTAAGACACGCAAATCAAGGGATACTTTATTGCTGCCAAACAAGACAGTCCTATAGGAATTGGGGGATGAAAGTCATTTCTTACTCATTTTCCTGATACATCAGAGTAAGATGTGTCCTGTCATAGTAAATAAAACCCTGCGTTCCCTTCAAGCTCGGGCTACACTTTTGTGTTAAAGATGGCATAGGCTTGCCATGGTAAACACTTGGGGCAGAGCCAGTGACAGTGGGTCTGTCCCCATTTACCCTGATCCTTAATCCTTCCAAAATGGCCGGGGCCTCCTCTGACCACTACCCCATGCCCAGCGACAGTCTTCTGTCCTGGTCGGTTGAGAGCACAAGCACCTTTGGTTATTGTGTGTCCATGGGGCTTCTAGAAGTGTGGGAATGCTGACCACTTCCGGGGACACAGAAAAGCAGCTCTCAGTAGGCAGCTTGAAGGGAATCTAGTTTTGCACTATTAGGGCCTCCTAAATGGCACTGGCTCTACATTAACCCATCTCTTCTGCTTTTGGGGTCAGAGAGGTCCTGGGGCACCTAAGTTTGTGGGTGAGTCTGTGGACTAAGAACCAGTGTCGGCCGGTGGCCTGTAGGCCATGCGCTGCTGGGTATCTCTTGACCCCATCGAGAATTTGGGCAAGCCCGCAGAAGCCCTGCTTTGTCTCCAAGGCACAGGTGCCCTTTAGCTGGCTGATCTGCTTCTGTTTGCAGATTGAAATGTGTTCTCTGCAGCATTTTGCCATTTTCCCTCTCTTCCAGAATGTCCTTGGTTTCAGAACATTAAAGGGAAAGAGGAAAGCTAGACTGAGAGAACTTCCCCTTCATCTGAGCTCAGTGAAAGAGACCCTTTTCCTGCCCACACGCGTCTCCTCTGGCCTGGCTTCATCCGCATCCTGGGAGGTGGAGCTTTGCCCTCGCTGCCCCTCTCGTCCTGCCCTGCTTGGGTTCCCTTGTTCGGGTCCCAGTCTCTGCATTTAACTGCACTTGATCATCTGACCCTGACGCCAGCATTGGAGGTGGCTTGGTCTGACTGTTCTTAAAATCGAGGGCAGCGCCTTGGTCCCTGAGAGGGAGTGTCGGTTAGGGCAGGGATCCTTTGGTTTCCAGGTTTACCAGGATATAGAGTGTCTCGATGAGCAGGCGATACCTGGGACGGTGTTTGTTTACTGGAGCTCTTTTTTTGAGTTATTTTTGGGGACACATCTCTGTTACCCCACAGTCCTTGTAATCATGGTGAGGATGTCAAGAGTTAAAGACAACTTCCTGGAGAAGCAGGTGGTTTTATAGTATAGGCACAAATGAAATTCCATTGAAGCTAATTACCAACCTTATTTTGGAAATATTTCCAATCGTGGTTTCTTGTTTAAATCTTGTTACCTGCTTAAATCTCTCTTATTCTGACAAAAGCCCCGTCTGTTTGTGTGTCCTAGAAGAGTGGGTATGTATGTGTTCTGTGTACCGTGACTCTGGAAAGCATTCAAGGTTAGATCTCCTTTTTTATTCCTGAATGAATCATTGCAAATGCATTATTTTTCTCTCATTATTTCTTTCTCACACCTCGTTTTTTGGATCTCCAGGATCTCCACATCTCCCAGAGGCCCACAACCCTAAGCTAGGTCATTATGCTGGCAACGGTTTGCCCGGTGTGTGTGGAAGGAACGAGGCTTCAGGGTTTCGCTGTACGTAGTTAGAACTTGGGGCTCTTCCAAGTGGTGCAGTTGTGTATTGTGACTGCTGCTGGGGTACGTGCAATGTCCCGGGGGCTCCGATGGTCTTCCAGGCCTCTCTCTCCCCCACTTCTCGCCGGCCGGCCGGTGTTTCCCGCTCCGCACTCTTCTTTGTGCCCCGCTGTGATTTCAGCTTACCGCCATTAGGGGGCATTTTAGGTTCTGGTGATAAATCTGAGAACCCGAACGGAAGGTTCCCTGCAGAACCACCCACGTGTTGCCGAAATGCTGGGCACTGTGGGCACGGAGCTGGGCTGGTGGTGGTAGGACAGGGAGAGCGCAGCCACTCCCGACTTCGTGAGTGTGATTCGCCGTCACCGTCACCGCGGTCACTTCCCCTGAAGAGCCGTGTACAACCCTGCACGGTGCTGGCTTTGCGGAAACGAGAGCACCTTTGTTCCCAGGATGGCTGCGGGTTGAGAAGGTGGACCTGGAGTCACCCTTTGTGAAGGGGCCTTTGGAGGCTTAGAGTCCCCGGGAACTGAACACAGGTGGCCTCATTTAAAACTATTTTTGACTGTGTGACAAGCCCACGTTCCACGTAGGATGCTGTAGGAACGAATTCTTCTCTACTGATCGTTTGACTCAGTGAACTTTCTTTTCCTGTCTGGGTGTTTCAGCAGTGAAGGGACGTGCCTGTGCCCAGCCTTATGATGCATTTTCTCCTGACACACCCGGGACTTGGGGGGGAGGGGGTGTTGGAGTTCCCATGCTGTCATCCATCATGTTGTGTCCCAGCTTGCCTTGCAGACTCCAGATTCTGTGGATGATTAGGGGAAAACAAAATAAAACACGGTCCAGGAAAAAAAAAGGAACCAGGGAAGGAGTCGCTCAGCTGTCACTTCTTTAATGAGCTGAGCCCCTGCAGCTGTTAACACCCTCCCCCACCCCCTGCTGTGGTTTTGTCTCACTGTACTGATGAGGCAGTTAAACTAGAGACTCATTGTTTTTGTGAATATTGAAGCTTTTGAGGATATGTGGTAATATCGGAAGTTAGGCTGTATTTTTCTAATCAGGAAAGAATCCGGTTTTTACTTGATCCTGGACCGTCTTTCCTGCCCGAAGCGCCTTCCTAAGTTGGGCTTTAGGGAGTGGCAGGGAGGCTGTCTGTGACCCCTGTAGCTACCTGGGTGGTTTGTGAAGTCGTGTTGGGGATGCTGCTTTAATGTCCCCCTCACAAAGTGCTGGTGGAATGTTCTGGGTGTGGTGGGAGCTGAGCAAGGTAGATTGTGCCTCTGTTATCTCAGCCGGAACCACCATTTCTCTCCAGCAGACAAACGTACGGGAATTAATTCTGGAAAAAAAGGTAGGTTTTGTAGGCTTTGTGGTTTCTGTGGGATCCTGTGGTGGATTTCTTGGAACGCTAACACCTCTTTTTCTCTCTGTTTCCTGATAATCCAGTTACCGGAAAAGCTCATAAGCAAATACAACTGGATCAAGCAGTGGAAACTTGGACTGAAATTTGAGGGGAAGAGCGAGGACCTGGTTGATAGAATTAAGGAGTCCCTCACGTTGCTAAGGAAGAAGGTTTGGAATCTGTAGTTTTTTTTTTTTCTCTGAGAAGTGCAAAACTCTCACTCCTGATCGTCCCAGCAGACCACTTCTTAGTCCTCACTGAGTGCATTGCCAAATGCCCATGGCTGACAGTTAGGCAACATAATTTAAATGAACATAAACCCTTCCTGTGAAGCCTTTGGCAAAATCGAGAAATAACGACACCATTTTTTTTTTTTTAAAGATTTTATTTATTTATTTGACAGAGTTCACAAGTAGGCAGAGAGGCAGGCAGAGTGAGAGAGGGGGAAGCAGGCTCCCTGCTGAGCAGAGAGCCCGATGCGGGACTCGATCCCAGGAACCTGAGATCATGACCTGAGCCGAAGGCAGCGGCTCAACCCACTGAGCAACCCAGGCACCCACGACACCATTTATTATGTTTAGTGAAATGTTTAACTTTCTTAAAAGGAAACCTTAAATGTGGTCTTTGTTTTAAGTCATACTAACAAGTTTCAGGGGTAGTCTGTATTTAGTCTCTATTTCTTAAGAGTATTATCAATGACGTGAATGTGTATTTATAAATTCTTTCCAACTCTGTTCATGTTTTAAGTTTCTGTCCCTGTTTACTAGACTTGTTTTCATTTCTGAATGATTGTCAGAAACTTGTCTTCTTTTTTTTTTTAAGATTTATTTATTTTAGACAGAGCAGGAGTGGAAAGGGCAGAGGGAGAGGGAGAGGGAGAGACTCTCAGGCAGACTCCCGCACTGAGTGTAGAGGCCGAGGCAGGGTGTCCTTGATCTCATCCTGAGGTCATGATCGGAGCTGAAACCAAGAATTGGATGCTTAACCGACTGTGCCACCCAGGCATGCCAGTAACTTATCTTTTGAAAAGTGTCCTGAGAGTTTCTCTGAAACAGAATTATAGGGCACATTGATTCCCAATGATTTGGTTATTAAAATACTCCCTTCCTGGAGTATTCCATGGGTTTTGGAGGTCTTGCTTGGACACTGGCCCACACGGACTGCTAGGTTGCTTGCCTTAGAAGAGCTTGAAGCTCTCCCACCAGGACCCCAAGCTGAGAGCCTGCTCATTGCTGCAGGCTTTGTAGATGGGGGAGCCTGGTAAGGAGGCATCAGACGGCTTTCAGGAGTCCTTTAGCGCTTACCCCGGGTGTTTATCTGTTTCATCCAGTACGGTCTGCCCCCCGGTTAGACTTTCAGCTCCATGAGGATCTGTCGTGCTCCCTCCTTTTCACCCAGTGTCGAGCCCCAAGCCTGACCACAATAGGCATTTGGTAAATACATTGATTAGTGAATGAACTGAGGGCCTTGACCTCCTAGAACCTAGTTTTTATTTACAAACATAAGTGTTTCATGGAAAGTCTAGCAGTTAAAAACTTGTGACAGGAGAAGGAAACAGGGATTCTTTCTATTCTCTTTGCCTTTTGGAATGGAGCATGGGGTTTGCAGGGGCTGGGGACCCCAGGATCTAGGGTAAGTGAGGGCTGAGAGCAGGGCTCTGGCTATGTGGGTGAACAGGAAGGCTCTTCAACTCAGCCAGTGGTGACAGTTTCTTTTTCATCTCTTTTAAGGTCTTGTGAAATTGTAATTTTTGCTGTATTAACTATGTGTGCTGTTAACAGATCCTTATTTTGGGGAATGGTTTAAGTGTTTCCAATTTACAGTGACATTAAAGTTATTCATTAGTAATCTAAGCTAGCATTACTGGTACTTCCTGTGTGCCAGGCTGTGCGCTAAATGTTTCATATGTTATTTAATTCTCCTAACTTACCAAGATGTTGCCATGTTATCCCCATTTTAAAGATGAGGAAACTAAGGTCCCGATGTCTGTTAATGCTCAGCAAAAGCCACCAGCTGCTTGGTAGCAAGGCCTTCATTCCATCTTGACCCCGTAACTCTAGAGCCATGCTCTTGACTGCTGACTGGGTTTACTTCTGGAAAATAAGAGATGCTCCAGCTTTCAACCACATATAGAAGAGAATCCTGTGGTACAGTCATTACCATTAAAATTCACTGTTGAACTTAGAATTTTAATGGCTTTCTGAGAGGAGCAATAGTTACTGGTTATTCATAAGGACTAGTTCGTGTTGGTATCTCTCGTCTTCATTCGCTTTAATTTAAAAGCATATGTATTTATAGAGTTTTCTCGTTCACTTAACGTGTTCGCCTGTGTTAGCTGTATTCCTAGGACTGCTTTATTCTTAAGCAGGAGTCAGTAAACATTTCCTGCATGCATGTATTCATTTGAAACTCCATGTATATTTGTAGGAAGTTAGAAGGGTGAGTTTAGTAAACCTAACGTTCAGCAGTCCTCACAGTCTTCCTTGCTCATCTTCATTTTTGCAGGTTGGCTTGGTGCTTCTAGGTGGTAAGTGCTCCCTCCCGTAAGCCCCTTAAGGGGAGGTATAATTTTAGCTATCCCCCACCAGCTTCACACACAGCCCTCACAGCCATCACACATGCACCTTATTCGCTCCTCCGGAAGTTATGTCCGATTGGTCCAGTTTCATCGTCTTGGAAGTTAGGGCGGTTGAAAGCTCCATCCCATGGCATCAGTGCTTCTCCTTAGTGCGCTGTACTTTTGTTTCATACTAATGGGGGAGAAGCTGATTAAGGAATTTGTGTGGTCTAAAGAGTACCATTGTTTGAACTAGAAACTTGAATGTTGTGAGCATGGGTACATGACCCGTGGTCGCCTACTTTTGAAAATAATTTTGTGCTCATAGTATGAAATATACCAGGGGTTTTTAGAGCAGGCGTTTAATTGTTACGTAACCTTCTTGTTGTAGTGGGCAGGCTTGGCGGAACTGAGAACGGCTGAAGCAAGGCAGATAGCTTGTGATGAACTGTTCACAAATGAGGAAGAGGAATATAGCCTCTATGAAGCTGTAAAATTTCTAATGCTAAACAGAGCCATTGAACTATATGATGATAAAGAGAAGGGAAAGGAAGTACCGTTTTTCTCCGTGCTTCTGTTTGCTCGGGACACATCGAATGATCCTGGACAGCTGCTAAGGAACCATCTAAACCAGGTGGGACACACCGGTGGCCTTGAACAGGTGAGTTGTGCCTTTGAATGTGTATTAGTCCAAAATGGCAGCTTTAATCATTTAACATTATATCACAGCTTTTGTAGGTCAAGAATTTGGAGCAGCGTAGGTGTATGGTTTTGGCTCAGGGTCTCAGGAGGAAGCAGTCCGTGTTGCTCAGGACTGCAGTCGCCCGAGGGCTCGACCAGGCTGGAGGATCCACTTCCCACGTGGCGCAGCACCCTCGGGTTAGTTAGAAGGAGGGTTTAGTTTCTTGACACATGGGCCCTTCCATAGTGCTGCCTGAGTGTCTTTGGGACATGATGGCTGGTTTCTCCCAGACAGTGAAGTGATCCAAGAAAAGGGCAAGGAGGAAGCCACAGTGTGCTTTACGATCTCATCTTGGAAGTTACATACTGTTATATACACCATTAAAAACAAAGTCACTAAATCCATCCCACACTCGAGGGGAGAGAGCATCAGGTCCCACCCACCTTATCAAGTGAGGAGGGCAGAAGCATTGTGGGTCCGTTTTGTAACCACCACGTTGAGTTCAGCCTGGACTTGCTTCTGCAGGATGCTGGATGGGATCAGCACCCTTGCACCTGGCAGGCTACAAGTAAATGCAGCAAAGGGTCTTATTATTTAATCATGGCAGCCGGAGCTGTATTAGATAGTGTCCTTAAAAATAGAATTGGAGTCACCTTAGCCAGTAGGGACCAGCCTGCTCTGGGATCTTTTACGCATATGCTAAGTTTGGAGTTCTGCACAGAGACGCAGTGCGCTACTGTCCCTGCCTCACCACACCCACCCTGCCCTGTCTTTGGTGTGTGCACGCTGTGTTCTCTCAAAAAGCTTAAGTCTTTGTTAGTGGAATAGCCAGCTACGAAAGTAGCATTTAAGGCTGTCCATCCAAAGCGCAGTCTGTGGTGTGTAGCAAAGCGCAAAGGCTCGTGGTCACTGCCGGGTCAGGCAGGATTGAAGAGGACCGCTTCAGACAGTATCTGCGCTCAGAGAGCACAGGCTCCTTCTGCCTCCGGAACCGCAGCCCTTCCCTTCTGTACAGAGCCTGGGGCGCGGTGGTTTGCGTGTTGGACTGAAGTTCGTTCTTGAGGAGTCCTCACAAAATCTGTAATGGCGAGTCCCATTTTTAAAACATAACAGCTGTATCGGGATATACTTTACATACCAAAAAGATGATCCTTTTGAAGTGTGCAGCCCAGCGGTTTTTAGTATGTTTATAGAGTTTTGCACCCATCGCTGTAATCTAATTTTAAACTCTTTTATCACCCTAAAAAAACCCCTATACCAGTTGGTACTAATTCCACCTCCCCTAGCCCTAGGCAGCCACTAGTCTACTTTCTGTTTCTGTAGATTTGCCTATCCTGGAAACTTTGTAAAAGCGGAATCGTATAATATGTGGTCTTTTGTGGCTCGCTTCTTTCCCTTGGCCTCATGTTCTCAAGACTCGTCCATATTGCAGCACACGTCCCAAACAGTATTCTAGCGAGTGGACAGACTGCAGTCCATCAGCCGACGGACGTTCGGGGTCTTTCTGCTTTCTAGCTACTATGAGTAATCCTGTTGTGTGGATGCATGTTTTCATTTCTCTTGGCTAGATACTGGGATAGATTTCTTTTGTTCTACAGTTAAAGTTCATGTAACATAAAATTAACCATTTTATTGATTTTATTTTATTATTATTTTTTAAGATTTTATTTATTTACCTGACAGAGAGAGATCACAAGCAGGCAGAGAGGTAGGCAGAGAGAGAGGGGGAAGCAGGCTCCCTGTCGAGCAGAGAGCCCAATACGTGACTCGATCCCAGGACCCTGAGGTTGTGACCTGAGCCAAAGGCAGAGGCTTAACGCACCGAGCCACCCAGGCGCCCAAAATTATTCATTTTAAAGTATATAACTCAGTGGTTCGCAGTACGTTTATCAAGTTCCAAAATATTTTTGTCACCCCAAAAGAAAACGTGGTACCTGTTAAGTAGTTATGCCTCATCATTATCTGTTTGATTATAACTGTTCTAGTGGGAGTGAAGGGGAGTCTGTCTCCCTGTGGTTTGGTGGGCGGCCGTCTGAGGACTCTTCATGTGCTCATTGTTTACTTGCATATCCTCTTTGGATTAATGTCTTTTCTATTCAGATCCTTTGCCCAATTTTCAAACTGGTCATTTTTTTAAATTGTTGAGTTATAAAAGTTCTTCATATATTCTGGATACAAGTCTCTTAACAGATGTTTAGCCCACTTTTGACGGTCTGCTTATTTGTGACAAGTGTGTAGAGATGGCTGGGGGCCAGGCCTACGCAGAGGAAGAGAGGTTGCGGGGTGGCCGGGCCCTGCGCTGCCCCGAGCTCGGGGCTGGAGCAGGCGGCTTCCCTCCGCACAGCTCTCTGCTCTCTTCCCCAGGTCGAAATGTTCCTCCTCGCCTATGCCGTGCGCCATACCATTCAGGTGTACCGGCTCTCCAAGTACAGCACGGAAGAGTTCGTCACCGTCTACCCCACCGATCCGCCCCTGGACTGGCCGGTCGTGACGCTGATCGCTGAAGACGACCGGCACTACAACATCCCCGTCAGAGTGTGCGAGGAGACGAGTCTGTGAGGGGCGCGCCTGGACAGCCTGGCCACGTGGCCGAGGTGCACAGGCCACGCTTGGCTCAGGCCTTGGGCCTCCAGGTCTCTTAGAATGGCCTGTGGGAACTCTTGGGCCCCGTGAGCCAGGCTGGACGGGGCTGTTCTGAGGACAATTTCTGATAAGAATTAACCGAGTGTTTTCCCTCATCTTGGATGCAATACGTTTCAGGGGCTTTCAGAGCACTTGTTGTGGGAGGTACAGACTGCGTCTTCTCCGTAAAGCAAATCTCTGGTATCAGAGGAGACTCATTTCGGAAAGGAATGTGTTCTTTATGTCTCAGAATCAAACTCTTTTTAATTGTAAACTGGCTCTCCGTTTTTTCTAAGATAGTAATTTTTTGTGTTGGTGGTAATGGGTGTCTGTAGGCCCTTCCTGTGCACTTGAGCTTACGTGACCTAACTCTGGAGGGCGTCTGTCACCAGGGCAGTCATCACGGCCTCTGATAGTCTTGTTGATCAGCGGTTTGGATTTACATATTAATTAAAGCTATTCTAAACAGATTGTCTTATAGAAGAATAAAAACTGGGTCCAAAAAGGAGTTACTAAAAGGCTGGAGAAGGAGCCACACTCAGGAGGGATGTGATGGCACCTGAAACCTCTGACTGAGAACGTGACAGGCGCCTGAGGTCACGGCTACAGCTGGTCTGGTGCCTGTGCAGGTGCTGTGCTGTCAGCTGGGGGCACTGCTTGTAGCTGAGCTCCGGCGTTGGGCCGCGGATGATTCTTGGTCTCACAGGTGCGCCATTTGATGGTGAGAAGAGCGCAGCGATTCCCCTGGTCTTTGAGAGGAGGAAGCCAGGGCCCCATGACTTCAGGCCCTTTCATCTGAGCTCAAGGGTGGGGGGAAGCTGGATCTAGGGCTTCCTGTGCCCTTTCCACAGGATGTTTTTGATGGTGCTGCCACTGCCAAGTTCGTTCCTGCCGGGGGGTGAGTCAAAGCGAAGTGTCTTAGATTTTTCTTGAGTAAGGAGAAGCAGAAGCAAGTAGAAAACTAAGTACAGAAGTGGGGCCGAGCGCACCGGTGTGTGATTCGGTTTCGGGAGGCCTGAGGGAGGAGGGAGTGTACCTGTTGGTGAGTGATGCCGCCTGGAGGCCTGGTTGCATGTGGCTAGGGCCGGAGTCATCCACGGGGGCGTGGGCCATGTCCGTGGTTCCTGGGACCAGACACATCACTGCAGTGCTGTGTCAGCAGCACCTGCCTGGGCTCGGCGTCTGTGAAGGCGGCACACCCTGAGGCCCCAACCTTTATTTTATAACAGTTACAATCTTGATTTGGTTCAATGTAGTGTAGTTAATAAGCTGTCACATGTTTTGGGGGAGTGGCGGGCCTTTTCTGAAGATGTAAGTTTTGCTTTATACTTAAAAATTAAAATTCTTTTGAGAAAACTCAGAGGACACACAAAACTATGCAGACTGTTACATGAGTATTTTCCTGTTACCTCATCCGTGATCCCACACTTCGGGAGGTGTTCATTCTTCAGACGATTTGAGAACTGGGTTTTGCTCTGAATGTGCCTGAGTGCGTCGGAGAGGCTCTGTTTCTCACTGTGAAACGTCATGGTGCCTTGAACAAGGAGGTGCCTAGAAGCCAAATTAAAGAAATAATAATAACTTCTTATTGGCTTTGATGCTTCATTTTAGTATTTGTAATTGTACAACAGTAATGCTTACTGTTCATTCTTGAACATTTTTTTTTTTAAGATTTTTATTTATTTATTTGACAGAGAGATCACAAGCAGGCAGAGAGGCAGGCAGAGAGAGAGGAGGAAGCAGGCTCCCCACCGAGCAGAGAGCCCGACACGGGGCTCGATCCCAGAACTCCGAGATCATGACCCGAGCCGAAGGCAGCGGCCCAACCCACCGAGCCACCCAGGCGCCCCGATTCTTGAACATTTTTAAAGCAGTTAGTGTGTGGGCGCGAGGCAGTGGGGTTCTTTGTCCTCCGGGGCGTGCACCGAGTCTGACTGTTGGTCCACACCTGCTGTTCAGGTTAATAATACTCGTGACCATCTGTCTTTGCATTTTGAAAATGTTCTAATCTTCGTGAACTTGAACTGGACTTTTGGGCAGCTTAATTGTTTACATGCATTTACATACATTCTTGTTCCTGTGTGTGGTGTTGTTAGAGCGCGTGGAAGTTGTGGTCTTCGGCACCGCAGTGATGCCCGTTTGAAAGCATGTGCTGAAGTAGCTTTCTGACCCAGGGCCTTGTGGGACTCTGCGCCCAGCCTGTCGGACAGGCTTAGTGTGATCGCAGCATGGGAGAGGCAAAGGTTTCAAAGATACAGTACTTTGGGAAATATAAGTGATTGTCTGACTTTAAAAAATAACGTTTCTTCATTATAACACGCAACTTCAGTTGCCCACAATCTTAATGCCATGAGTCATTCCTGGTCATGGGCTGCTCGGGTGAGAGCAGCAGAACAGAAATTGCATTGAGACCGAACCAGATGCAGGATAATCGATTTAGAGGGGCCTCTCAGAGGATACAGTGTCCTAGGAAAAGAGAAAGCTGTGGTGACTACCCTGAGCTTACTCATTCCCAGAGCATACTGCAGGAGTTCAGAGACCTGGACCCTGGGGTCTCGGCAGGAAGATGATCTCCGTCTTAAGCAGGCATGACTTACACCTTTGAGCTTATTTAAGGCGCATTTAAACCTGAAAGACTTTCCCTATAGCAAGTTCCCTGGAATTAACACTGCTTCTTCAGGACCTCTTCCGGCTCCTCCCCTCTTAGGAGGAGGAGCTTAGCTTGGGCACACACGGCGCACACATGGCGCACACACGGCGCACTCACGGCTCGCACTGATGTCACTCCCGCAGGTGGAACAGCGATGACCGCTGTGGAGGACAAGAGGCCAAGGTGTGGGTTTGCCCTTGTGCTCCAGACCTAGGCGGGGTTTGACCTGAAGTGTTTGAGTTTCCTCTTCTTAGAATACAGCATATCAGAAAATGTTTTAGACGCACCAAGTGGGATTGAGTGTGCTTCATTTGTATTTTGTGTTGGGCACTGAGTTAAGTGAGATCTGATGCAAGTTCTCAGGCATTGTCTTGGTATCCTTTCATTACTCTGTTCCTTCCAGTTGTAGGGCTTAGCAGGTAAAAGTCTCAGGCCACATGAGTCTTAACACCTCTGTCAGAAGAAACATCCTTTGTGGGTTTTTATGTCCTCCCCCCCCCCCCGCCCTTTTTGGAGGCTGTTTTCCCTCCTGCCCTGCCCCTCCCACCAAGGTGCTGTGTCACTCCCTGTCGGTGGTCTGCTTCTCCTGCCTTTGCTACTCTTGGCCCTCCTGCTGTCACTGTGGATGCTTTAGCCTCCAAAAGACTGTCCGCTGCCTCCTCTTTCTGATGTTAAAATAACATTTCGAATATTTCATTTTCTGTCTTTATTAAGCAGTACTTTGCAGGTACTCCCCCTTGAAAACCCAGAAGTATTTTCAGAAGTCTAAACCTCCAGGGAATCCTCTTTCTAGGCTTACATAGAAATAAATGTCTTTTTAAAAAAAGCCTGTGCCTACTTAAAGCACAATGAAAAGGAGGTTCTCAGTGTGTGTGAGGTGCATCTGGGAAGTGTGTGAAAAAGGCACAGAACCCCAGATTGTTCAGGAAAAGGCAGGGCAGAGTCAAGTCCCTTGCAGAAATGGCGAAAGGAACTGTAAGAAGTGAATCGAAGGAGGAACTGATTTTAGAATAAAAATGTCACTTAAAACAACAGGGGCACCTGGGCGGCTCAGTTGACTAAATGCCAGACTCCCGGTCTAGGCTCAGGTCGTTGCCCACACTGGGCTCCATGCCCGCTGGGGAGCCTACTTGAAATGCAAAAGCGAAACAGCAAATGCCTGTCAGACCTCTTGGCCCGTGTTACACGTGGATGAAAATCTGTGTGAGTAGAACGACTTCTGTGTATGGATTCTGCAAATCACTTTTCCTAAAACATATGAAGTTCCCTGTTTCACAGATGTGCAATGTTTAATGCTTAACTCTTCTGGAAAACCCCAGTGATCTCTTCTGAGGAGGTCGAGATACCAGGGAGCCAGTGCCAAGCTGTGCGGAGAATAGACAGGGCAGCTGACGATTAAAGCCTTTGTCATTCAGTTTATAACTTGACGCCTGGAAAAGCACAAGACCAAACTGGTCCGGCGGGCTGTTGGGGAGGGTGTGGGGGTGGGGGCCGCTGGCAGGGGAGGGGTGCAGTAGGGTAAGGTGAGGGCCCTGCCCACGTGGGGCCGGTGCATGTCAGCACGTCTGCACCAGGTCTTGCTGGGCCCAGCAGCTCTCCGGAGGCCTGAGGGGACTTACTGGCTTGTCTCTTTCCATGGTCAGTTGAAGTACTTACTAGGGGAACGGGTTAATTCGGTCTGAACTATAGATGGGTTCATTGCATTGAAGTTCCATATCCGCAAACCATTTGATCATATCACGCCTCTGGTTCCCAGGCCTTCTGGCCTCCTATGTATTTAAGTACTTTGAACGCTCAGGACTAGCCAGGGCTATTCGTGGAGGAGAACCCCCGCTGGAGTTTGTCAGTCACATTGATTTCTTGGGTCTAAGCCTGGGTCAGGAGCGAAGTCGTCAGAACGTGGTTAATAGAAGGAAGAGGATACAGGCCTTGAAATACCTGTGGTCTTAGCCGTCATTCTCCTAGTAACCAGGGATGCTTGAGCTTAATTTTGAACCTCAAAATCATTTTTTTGTACTTAGCTTGTAAGAGCTTTTCTATAATAAGAAACGCCTTGATCGTGTGCCCGTAAATGGTGCTAACACACGGTACCCTTTCCGGGGGCCACCGCAGCCCACGGGACCTGCGCTTGCTTCTCAGTATCCCCACGTGGGCACAAAGCCAAAATGAATGTATCCAGTGAGCTCCCCTCATTTCCGTTGTTTTTAGAGAATGTTTTGCTATAGTTACCTGCATCGTAGCAGCTTCTGTTGTGAATTTGGAGAGGATAACGGCCAACTGCTGCCTTTGGCAACGCGTCTTCCTTCCCCGGGGGGCCTGCGCTGGGAGGGTGGGGGCATGGCAGGGAGCTCACCCCGGTGAGCCTGGCCCTGCTCCTCTGGGCCCGTTTAGCAAAGTCTGTTTACACTGTAAAATGTCAGATTTGTCGAGTACCTGTGCTCAGAGAAACGCGCTCCTGAGGCTCCTGTCCGTGTGGGCCGAGCTCCCCACTGTGGTTGTGGGGGTGCCTGCCTGGGGGCCGGGGTGGGGTTCCCTCTGTGACTTCATGACTCAGGGCTTCACTGTGGATCCCTTTTAGTAAACCCAGCCACCGAGGGATGTACACATAAATAACGAAAAATAAACGTAGAAAATAAAAGATCAGAAGCCTGGCTGTGTTGCTGTGTTGCTCTGTTGCCTTTGAGGACTCTGGGGGACTCGGGCCCAGTACTGTGACTTTCTGTCCCCAGCCCCGGACGGGCCTGTGCTGCCCCAGGACTTGACGGTGGCAGATGCATCAGTAAGTGCTGTGGGGCACCCCGGCGCTTCGTTCCTGCCGCGGGTGTGGGTGCAGTGCCAGTCCTCTCGGCTGCCGTTGGTGGGGTGAGGCGCGCGCACTGACCGAGCCCCCGGGCAAGGGCCCGGGGCCCTGCAGAGCCAGGCCGCAGCCGCAGTCCTGACCCAGCCTCGGGTGCCTGCCCGGGAGAGGCCTGCGGGGCCTGTGACATTCTGGGTGTTCACCGACGGGCGTGCACCTAGGAGCGGCGGAGTGGGAATGACGCTGTCCGCGCTGCGTGTGAGTTAGACTGCCCTGAAGGACGGGAATGATCGGAAGGTGGGGAGGACCGGGCTCCCAGAGGTAGTCCTTGGGGTCAGAGAATGGAGTTTGAGTCAGCAGAGACCTGCCTTCCTGTGAGTCTGAGAACCGAGTCCGGGAGTCCGTTTGCGGGATGGTGCCGCGCCGCTGAAGAACGCTTGTTGGGTGCGCGCCCGTCAGCAAGCAGCCCCGGGTGGCAAGTGGGAAGCCGGAGACCTTCCTGGGATCACAGCGGCAGCAGACCGCGTTCCTCCTCCGCCACACCATTCGGCGGGCTGATCGACAAGACATCTGCTCTAAATACACTTTGCCTCCACTTGCCTGAATCACGGTGTTCTCAGTTCTCAGGGCTGTGTTTCTGGCACTTCTCCATGGCCTCCCACTGTCCTGCAAGCGTAGAGAAAAGCAGGGACGTAGGCTCTGGGCCCTAGGAGGCCTCAGAAGATGTTCACCCCGTCAAAGGAGAAAATCCCACCCGTGTCCTCTGTAGTTAGGATGGGTGTGCATTTCAACAGTCCATTTTCACTTCTCTGTCTTGCTGGAGACCTTCTGGGCCTCTGAATTATTGGTCTCCCCTTCCCACTTCTCCGACCCCTGCCTCTTGTCTGGGCACAGAGTGGGTGGCCTGGTAATCCCCTTCTGACTTTCTGGATCTGGAGGGTTCATTCTAGACTTCTGGCCCAGAAGAGGCAGAACAGATTTTGGCTTTTGGGGTGGAAAAGCCCAGAGTGACCCAGGCTTCCCAGCTTCCCAGAGTGAGTGAGGATTTTTTTGCCTTTCCCCCACCTGGCAGCCCAGCCCTCTGCTGTGGCAGGGTGGCTGAGAAGTTTCGAGTTACAATGCAGCGTATTTATTGTAGCTTAGGACAGTGGCTTTCACACGGTTCCTGCTGTCTCCCCAGATCAAGTAGTACTAGAACGTAGTTTAGGGCAGGTGAGATGGGCTCAGGTTGTGACATGCTGTGCTGTTCACTGGGGAGATCTCAGCGAGAACACAGAACACAGAAGGCCAACCCCACAGTAATTGTTGGCTTATGTACCTGAATATCACATACTGATCGTGTCAGGCCATGAGGAACATGCTATGCTATTAAGGTTTTAAAAATATCTTTTAAAAGCATACACTTAACGCCCCTGAATAGGTCCAGTTTTCATAATCATAACTAGTGCTATAAATAAGCATTCTCATTCATGAACCTTTTTAGGCACTTCTAGATTCAACACGTATAAAGCTCGTGAAATGTATTTACAAACTACCCTCCAAAAAAGTTGTAAGAATTTTCAGGCTCACCAGGAGGTGCTGGAGGGCCTGCTTTCTTGTTTCCCCAGTGATACTAGGTAGGATTTCATTTTTAACTTTGACCATTCAGCAAGGAAAAAAGTGGAAAGAGAGAGAGACAACTAGTTTTAATTGGCTTTTGATTCTGGTAATGGTAATGGTATTTCCTAGATATTTATCGGTCGTTTGGATTTCTTTCCTGCTTTGCCTGTCCATGTTCACCCACGACCATAATCGCCCTCGTTGAGGGTGCGCTTGAAGCATCTTGGAGAAGTATCCGCTGAAGAGGTGCCTTCGGTGGACATGTCCACTGGGGACTCGGGCACCGATTTCCTTAGGCCCCTGCCCACGCTGAGCTCTATTGTAGTTTTTGATCTTTGCTGAGTTGGTAGTTGGACATCCGGTTTGTGTTCCTGTACCGAGTGAGACTGAACCTGCTTTTGTTTGTAGAAGCCATCCATGGGTCATTTTCTGGGAGCTCATGTCCTTTGCCCATCTGCTATACTTTCTAACTAAACTGTCATCTGTGAGGGTACCTTTGGTTTTTGTCTCTGTGTTTCACAAAAAGATTTAAGGGAGGAAACATCAAGAAGGGAAGGCTAACGGGTGATCACACGTCCATGTTGAGCTCTTTTGATCACAACTGACAGCTAGCTGGCTTAGGTCATCTTAGTTCGTGGAGGGCTTGACGTTCATCAACCAGAAGTGGGGTTGGAGGGGAGGCCCTCTCAGAAAGGGAACTGCTGTGCAAGTGTCCTGGGGTTAGTATATGCCAGGGAGGAAGGTGCAAATGCCTTCTTTTTTTGCAAAGAGTGCCTGCCCAGTTCCAAACTCCAGATGCAAGGATGAGCTGAGGGCCCAGTCCTCCCTCCCTGTCCTTCCCCAGGCCCTCTCCCAACTGTCCCCAATTTTCACACAGCTCATGTGCATCTGAATGGCAGGACGGAATCACAAAGCAGTTTTGTCTTCCACTGTTTAAGAGTAATCAGTAGGAGAGCTGCCCCTGCCCCTGGATGAAAACTCAGCTGTGGGCATCCATGACTCTCCCGGGCACCCCTGGATAATAAAGCTTACAGGAGCACCGGGGGGCGCAGGCGCAGTTGGTTTAGCATCTGACTCTTGATTTCAGCTCAGGTCGGGATCTCGGGGTCCTGAGATCAATCCCCGTGTCCGGCTCCGTGCCCAGTGCAGTCTGCTTGAGATTCTCTCCCTCTCCCTCTGCTCTCCACCCCCCACCCCCGACTCCAGCTTGCTCTTGTGTTGTCTTTCTCTAAAATCTCAAAAAGCTTATGGTCATTTTACATTGCCCAATGTGATTCCTGTTCAGAAGTTGGGATACCCCATCTCGTCTAAGAGTCAAAGCCACAAGTAGTCACTGAATGCCCCAACCGGCCCTCCAGCGTTGGAGCAGGAGCAGACCCCTCTGCCCCTCCTCCGGCTTCCAGCTCAGCCTTGCGTGAGAACTTCCCTTGATGTGGCTAATCCTCTCTCCTACCCACAGCTCGTCCTCCGCAGCTCCTAGGAATCCAGCCATCCCTCCAGCTTCCTTCTTCTAAGCCCTGTTCCCTAGGCTTAAGGTGTCGAGCTCCCCTCTGCCCCCGCCCCACCCCAACTCACATATGTGCACATATCCCCAAGGAGGAGAAGGGCTCAGTATAACTCTGCAAAGAAACCATCTCTACAAATGATCTTTTCAAGTATGTACTCTTTGTTCTTTCATGCCCGCAGTGGGTGTGGATGAAAGAGGGAACGGTGTGGAATGGGCCTGGCGCGAAGACATCTGGACAGGAGGCTGGGCTCCTGCAGGAGTCCCCCTCCCCCCCTCCCCTTGTGATGCTGCTTCTCACTGGGTGTTAGCATCCTCCTTTCTGGTTGGGCCCTGTTTACGACATGGAGCCCAAGCTCAGTCTAGTGTCTATCATGTGAAGTGTGAGGTCCTCGTTACAGCAACCCAATGCCTAGAGTGAGAGGAATGCCTGGCCAGCTTGGAAAAGCAAGGAGGTTAGTGGAGGGGAGGTGGTCAGCCTGCTGGGAATGGTTGGGTAGGTTGCGTACTGCAAAACTCCAGGAGGTCTCATTCGGTTCATAGCCCAGGGAGATACATGGGCCTGAAAGCTCCACGGTGACCAGGAGCATCTGAGCTAAGGCAGAAGGACTAAGGATGCAGAGGAGGGACAGAAGCGACAGCTACTAGGAGAGAGAACTTGTGACTTGATTGAGGGAGGGGTGGGGCATGGAGGAGGCTTCTGGGTGGGTGATAATGACTCATCTAGACGGAAATCCAGAGGAGGTAGGGACAGGGTGGTGGGAAAGTGTGCAGAGAGGCCCTGAAGGGCCTAGGCCCCTCTGGGACCCCTGGGAGAGGTTAGCAGGTTACTGGTCTGAAGTGCAGGAACAAGTCCGGACTGGAAAAACTGCCCTGGGGATCACCAGTGCATATTGGGAACTAGAGACAGGCCGGACTGGGTCACCCGGCAGAACACAGACCTGGATTCCCAACTTAGGTGACAGCAGGCCTGGGGTGTGGAGGCCATTTATCTTCTTTTCCAAAGAAAGCAGAATCCTGCAGCTGTGGCCACCACAGCTGTAGGGGGAGGAAGGCTGAGAGCGGAGCAGGGCAGCATCTGGCAGAAAGGCAGAGCGGCTGGGGTGGGACGTGGCCCTGCCTGACCCGTGAAGAAACCACATCTGGGTTTTTGCTTCACGAACTTGCGAACACGTGTCCTCACCGTGTCCGGGGGCTGGGGGAGATGGACTGCTGCGGCCGCCCCTCACGGCACCCGAGCTTTGTACAGAAATCAGATGAAGAGATGGCGGGTGGTGTACAGTGGGGTATGAATCGTGTTTGTTCATTTCTGTCTTGGCCTTTGGACTCAAGGGTATCTGAGGTCTCTGAACCGAAGACGAGATCAGCCGTCCCTGCACGGTGGCAGTTCTTTGCCAAAAGCAGGCCGGCACGAGCGCATACAGAGTCACTGGCTGAGGCCCGGCACACGCACCCCTCCTCGGCCTGCACCTCTGGCCATCGGGCTCTGCAAATCCTACCGCCACGCTAGCTCAGAATGGACAAGGTCTCGTTCTGGAGCAGAGAAGGCCGACCTGGAGGCATCTGGCAACTTGCCTGACTCCAAGCTAGTCAGTAGCCGAGATGCAATGAGGATTCACAGCTCGTGTGTGTGTGAGTGTGTGTGTGTGTGTGTGTGCGCGCGCTTTTTGTGCAAAGACCTGTGTACTGAGCTGTGAAATTAGCACAGTATTTATTGGCTTGCGTAGTCCAGATAAGAGGCCTGGAGCTCATGGGGTGACTTAAGCAAAGCCAAACTTCCCCCCCACTCAAGTGTTGCCTTTATGAGTTGAAAAGTTTAATTTGGAAGAGGGCATAGTTTTCTCCATGATATTAATGTAAAAGCCCAGTAGATCATATCTGTGAATATATCTGAACTGCCCCATCACAAGGGTAAACCTTTTGGACTATTGCTACTGTTGTATAACATGTGGGTGTGGGCCTTTTGGGATAATTTACAGATAGGCAAAGAGATGAGAGGCAGGTGTTTCAAAACCATGAACCATCTTATGGTTTATTTTAACAGCCTCTGGATTAAAAGCTCTCAGCCATCATAAATGAAGAAGACAAGTATGAACAGTAAAAGTCCTCTGCAATGTGTGACGTAGAGTGAAGGTGAGGAGAGGTGGGCAAGCTGCTGGGAATGGTTGTGCAGGTTGTGCACTGCAAAAACTCTGGGAGGTGTCATTTACATCATAGTCCAGGGGGACAGATGAGCTTGGAGAAGGCTCCTGTAGCATCTGGACCAGGAGTCCCTGAGCTAAGCCAGTGGCACTAAAGAGGATGCAGAGGAGGGACAGAAGTGAGAGAGTGACAGGAGGGAGAGCTGCTGGGGGTTAGTGGGACGCTGCTGGTGCAGGATGGTGTCATGGAATAGGTTTCTGGGTGGATGATAATGTGATTCATTTTGAGCCAGGCAAGAAGACAGGCCGCAGCCTAAGTGCCATGAATGGCAAGAAAGGTATTGACCTCTTTGACTAAAAAACATGGCAGTGTTAGAGGCGGTAACAGAGAAGCATGGTCGAGGCAAGAGACCTGGGATTTTAACCCAAAGACATGGAATAAAGCAGAAGCTGCCTCAGGCTGGGCAGTGGGAGTCTCCCAACCCTCTTAATTACAGGTGTGTGATAGAACCCTTTCTCTCTGTAATCTCTCATGGGAGGTTCAAAGGATGAGCGCCGTCACTCTTTGAGGTGAAGACACCACATTTTAAAGAAGAGTCATGCTTTTCACACAATGATCGATAAGAACAAGAATCTCTTAGATGTGGGCAGGAGGGGGTTTCAGGTTCTGGCCTTCTTACTTCCCTGATGCCTGTCTAAGCTGGGTATCCCCATTCAAGAAGCGGTGGGGAGAAGCTGAGCCTCACAGAAGTGCTTTCAGTATTACCGCAATGCCGGGAAGTCAGAATTCATTTTCACATAGACTGTAATTTGAAGCAATAGGTCACATTTAAATAAGGGAGTTTCGAGAAATAACCCAGCAGCTAGAGGGTTTAGCTACCAAGGCAAAGGCAAAATTTTAATGCCTCCTGTATGTTTGACAGAAAAGGAAAATGCAGTTAGAATTAGGAAACCATGTAATTGGGATGTATAAATAGACTGACAGAGTTTAGAAAATCAAGAAACTAAGAGCAGTCTTAGCCGGATGCCAGATCTAAGCTTAGAGTAAAATTAGAGTGTGAAAACCGTTTGACATCTCATGAGTGTGAGCTCCACCCCCCAGTAACCAAAGAAGGAAAGCATCTAGAAATTGGTTTAACCACGCAGAAAGTTCCATCTATTAAATACACACGCAGCACTTGCTCAAGTTCTGTATGTATTTTATACTGACCTCTGCAGTCACTTCTGACCCAAGGCTGTGCAAATGTTTTAACATGACTGGTTTCCACGAACCCCCAGTTTTGATGTGAAACCACAGTGGACTGGTCAGTGGACAGCCACAGCACGTGTCGAATGACTTCCCGCAGACTTCATTTTGTTAAAAAAAGAAAAACCATTCTGCCTCACTGCTAATGTTCAGATCTGAGATGAAGAAGGAGGTAATTTTATCTTTCATCCTGTCGTGTGCTCCAAATCCTAGATCGTACACAGCGCAATGGCCCTGGAAGGAGCCTTAGGGCTAATGGCGTCAGCCTCTCGGTGCGCAGGTGACAGTGTGCCGCGGGCACAGTGTGAGAGCTCTGAGGGTCAGGCTCTAGATCTACAGCCATTTAAGCTCTCCTTAGATGGGTGAGCACCGGCTGGTCCGCGTCGCACAGAATCATTTCATGGGGGAGCTCTGTCCAGATTCGGGAAGGGCTGTAACGAGCTCCTTGGTCATCCCGGCTCTGGGTGTTTGTGCTCTCGGAACATCATCCAGCAAACTGACTACAGCCCGGCCCCAGGGAGCTGTGTGTTTGCTGCCCTGAGCCTGGTGGGGGCGGCTCGCGGTGGGGGTGTGTGGTGACAACTCACCTGCTTTGTGACGGCTGGTCCACGCTGCGGGGACTGGGGGACTCACGCGGGTGGACACCTCATACCTCCTTCGTTCCACCAGGCTGGTCTGAACTACCCCTTGGTAGCCGGTTCATCCAAACCACGGGTTCCCTGTGCTCAGAGAACCAGAGTCGGCCTGGCCGTGATGTTTCCCAACGCCAAAGGCAGCCCTTTCTCGCCCCCTGTGCACGGCTGGAGAACATCTGCCTCTAAATCCTCCGGGGCCAACCAGTCTCCCTGCGCCGAGGGATTTCCACGAAGCCAGACGGGCTGGTCTGTCCCCAGTGTCCTTTAACCTAAGGACACCACTTCTACTTCGGGCTCTTGTGCGATTCTGCGGACACACAGGGCCTGTGGTGAGACTTGTTAGCGGAGGGGACTGAAGTTTTGTAACCCAGCTTCGAGGTCCCCCGTGAACACATCCCCCACGCTGTCTGTGCAGGTGCCTGACCTGACGCAGGCTTTGAGGGACCCTGGCTGATCGTACATGAAGCAGAGGGAAAAACATTTGGGCATCACCGGGACTTGGCAAGAATGACTTAAAAATGATGCGGTGACCGAGCGGCCCGCCTCCCTGTGGTCTGCTTCGCCCAGCTGCTGACAGCTCCAGCCTCCCCTCGTGGGAGGAAAGTCAACTCAGAATGTCCCCTCTCCACTGTTTCCCCCTTCCGAGATCAGACAGTAAGACACACACACCCCTTTTCTGACCTCTGAGTGGAGTTGGGGTTATTTGGATTACATAATAAGATCTCACTTTGAACATTAGTCCAGTAAATTTGAGACCTTAAAAGGTCTTTTCAAGGGCAGGCGACAGGGCCTTTTGGTACATTTGTCTCTGGATTTCTTCTACGTCCTGTTTTATGTGTGGTTTGATCAGCTGATGGATCATGTGATGTTTTGCTCCTTCAAATGACAGAAATAGAGACTCAGAATAACCACACGGAGAAGCCTCTCAAATGTTTACCAAACACGTTGCTCAAAAACATGCTTTTCTACGGTTCACATGCTTTTTAGAAAGAGCCGCGGGAGGGTGGCCGCGGGGAGCCACGGGTATCACAGAACTGGCCGCACGTGGACCGCAGAGGTCTCCAGGCTACAAGGGGCCGTGTCTGCCGAAGCCCCTCCCGCCGACAAGAGGGGCCAGACTTCGAACACAAAAAGCCCCCTTTGCTGGGCTGTGCCTCGCTTTGTTTGGAAACTTCATTCCTATTTTTAGGGGTCAGCTCACCTGCAAAATAAGAGGCCAGAAGTCACAGCTCCTTAGAACACAACAGCCCATGCTGTCCTGGGCATGGTTGTGCTTAGAGATTCATGGAAGTAGAAAGATTTTTAAATACAAGAACATATTTTTCAAGGTCATGTCATTGAATAACAAGACTGTGAATACTTTTTCTCTCGCAACACAGCCTCTTGGGCTCTCCCACTTCAGTCTGCATTAAGGAAAGAGACTGGTCAAGAGAACTACTAAGTCTTCAAACCGTTTTGTTTCTAGACACTAAGAGTATAAAAAAAAAAAAAGTTACTCTCTTCTTCCCCCCTTTCCTCCCATAAGAAAAAAGCCCAAATGGGGAGCAATTATGGTAGGGAGCTGTTGAGTTTTTTTCACTTGTTACTTGAAGCTATCTTTGAAGAACTTTGGTCACACTTGGGAAATGTAATGACTATCCCAACCCGAGAGAGGTCCAGAAAAGGCTGCCCGTGAGGACTGTAGAGCTGGACCCTGGCTGGGAAGTGCCTTGGGGTTTAGAGAACTTTCAACTGGATGGAGCTTGACTCTGGTGGAGCCCCTCCCTGGCTTGCCTCCTCGTGGGCCCTGCCCTCTGCACCTCCCGAAGTTATTTATTGGTAGGACGCAAAGAATGAAAAAGTGTATTTGCTACCATACCAAAGCTTTCCTCCGCCCCACCTGATATATCCTAAACACTGAAAGCTATTCTTTCTGAGGGTATCAGCCCTTCATGGACATCTCCAAAGCCAAGCCACATGCTCAGGCCGAGCCCATGAAACAAACGCAGAACAAGAAGACCTTTGGGAGAAGGCGGACCCAACACAGGCAGCAAGGGGCCATGCCTGGCTTCCACCCCGTTTTGTAAACCAATGGCCCCCCATGCCCAGATGAAAGAATCCAGTCAGGCGAGAGGTTCTGGCCAGTAGGCAAACCTCTCAACAGGCCCCTGAGCCTCAGGCCAACAGGTGCAGCCCTATCATGACTTCCCTGCAGCGAGTCTCGCCTGGTTCTTCCCGCTCACTTCTCGGGCATCTGATGCCCTGTGCTGGCAAGCTCTGAGTGGAAGAGAGCACACGACGCCTTCATGCGTAGAATGACCTGGCTTAGACCCTCAATAAAAGCAAGGAGGCCTCTGTCCTGGGAAAACCTTCGGTATAGAAAGACTGCTTTGAACTGCCCCAATTCACTTCTCAGCATTTGAAAACAGCTTTGTGCCCCAGTCGTTTCAGGTTATATTTGTCTACAAGGATCACCCAACATGGAGAAAGTCACGCTTGGTCTTTTCACAGTCCTTGACCTGTGACTTTCCCAGGCACCACGCCCTTCTAATGATACCTGTCCGCTAAGCGACTGGCAAGAAAAAAGAAACCTGTGTTGGGGAAATTTTGTTTTTTTTTTGGCCAGCAAAGTCAAAGGTGTGGCCCTCCTTACTCTGAAAAGTGGGATGGAGCAGTGTCGTGTCCCCCCTCCCCCTTCCGACCGCCTTTCCCATCTGAGGGTGCCAACACCGTGTCCTGCTTTAGAAGCTAAGGTGTGCTAAGGTGTGCGTGGTAGGCCATGAATGAAGTTAGCCCACGTGGAGGAACTGTGTGAGGGACGGCGTGCTTCAAGGTGGAAGGTATTGGACACGTCCCGCACGATGTCTGTCGTCATGGTCTGGGTGTGGGGTAGCTTCCCCTGTTCTCTGAGACAGTGGCCACATATTTATGGCCCGTCATCACCGACGGTGTCTCTGAGGTTTAGTGACACCTTCTAGTTGTGTAATGAAGGCTCTCTAGCTGAGCTTTCCCTGACTTGGGAAGAGATGGCTTTTTCAGTTTGATCTTCACGCTCTACCCCCACAAGCATGAGATAGTCACACATGTTAAAAAATACTGCTGTTTAATTTTCTAGTCATGTACTTTTAAAAAGCTGATACAATTAGACGTTTTTTTCCCCATCTTCTCAGATCTGCCCCTGAAACCAGCCGAGAGCTACCCATCTTGATTCCCAGCACTCATCTATATGGAGGAAAAGTCTCTCAGAGGAAGCACATGAAAATCTGTCCCCATGGTGGACACACCCAAGGTCACTTGATGTCCGGAAATGTGAATGCAGCCCTGTGATGTTCATGGCTGACTTTATGCCCTTACATTCTTTTTTTTTTTTTAAACGAGGAACAATATGATTACACAGCACTGAAAACAATAAACACGAAAGGCTTGCCTGTTTCTTCCTTTTTTTCTTTTTTGCCCCTTCCAGTGTATATTTCCATTCCCACTGTTGTCTATGCCAGCTGACCTATTTATACCCCTGCCACCCATAATGAAAAATAGTTCTCTCCTCATTTATTGAGCCTTACATTTATATACAAATGACAGACTCTGTGAAACTGCTGTAAATAAAATACAATGTTCATCGATACAATACGTTTCAAATGCAGGTCTGTGGAGCACACAAGCAATCACCGTATTGTATTAGAGACATTTTATTGAAAATGCGAAAATAGGAAATGTATTATAGCCTAAAATAAATTACATAACATATACAGTATATATTTATATCTTTAAAATATTTTTGTGTTTAGGTTCTTTCCGTCTAGGAATTTTGACTAAATCAAGAATTTAGTGAACTGTGTCCATAATTTTTTAAAGAAAAAACCCGCTTTCCAAAACTTAGAAAAATATACTGCACTAAATGGATCTCAAATGTGTCATTTCAGGGAATATCACATAGTGACTTTGCTATCGCTTAGAAAATGTCTTGCTTTATCGTGTGGCGTGAAATTACCTGTCCCGCGTGGTTATGACTAAGAGCAGCGGAACCAGGTAATGAATCTACTTCGAAAGTTACGATACAGCAACCTGGCATTAGAATGCTAGATTAGGACTTAAAGCTTCCGTTCACTTTTTTAAAAACTAAGAATGTGAAGTTAGAACGCTCCGTTTCACTTGCTCTAGCGCCATCTTCAGGAGAGGTGAGTGAAAAACAAGCCTTCGGGGAAAGTCATGCCTGAGGATGCTGACATTTGGAGATGCGCTGTCCTGACAACTTAAAAAAAATTAGCTCATGTATGTACACGGCGGGGCCTGAAAGGTGGGAGCTCGCTCAAACCTAGGAAAATGCCGGTGAGATGCTCTCGTTCAGTCCGCTACGCCCCTGGCGGCCCGACCCTTCCCACGGGAGGGCAGGCCTGGCCGTCTGTCCGGCCGCGCAGCGCGTTCACAAAGGCACCGGTCAGCGTGAACGGCCAGGCCGGCCGCCGCCCGTCGCGGACGCTCTGCTTGGGGGCGGGGGCCATTGGTGGCCGCGGGCCGTGCGGGGTGGAAGGCCTCCGGGGCCGCGTCTCTCCGCACAGCTGTGTTCCCGGGAAGCCAGCCAGAGGGAGCCGAGCTGTAGCGTGTGGATTCGGAAGAGAGATGCGGAGGGACAGGGTCCAGGCCGGCCCTGGGCGGGGGTGGCCGAGGGCGCCGCTGGCACAGCCGCAGTCCTTTGGTTCCGAGTGGAGATTGTCCGAGGGAGGAGGAGGAGACAGGCTGTTCTAGAGGCAGCTGCGCCTTCGGGATTTCCGGGGAAGCGGGGGCGTGAACTCATTGTTCTGTTCGTGTGCAGCAGGTGATGGCAGAGACCGCAGTTCGGGTCCGCGCAGCCGAGCGGGCGCACCCGGTATGCCGCAGAGTCTCCGCCAGACCTTCAGGGCGAGGCCTCTTCCCTGACCCAAACCCAAACCCAAATCCAAAGCCCCAGCAGAAGAAAGCAAGCACGACGGGAGAGGAGATGTCGCTGCGCTGCCCCCTCGGCTGCCCTGCTGTCCCCGCGTCCCGCTCGCTCCTTAGTCGTTCTCCTCTCGCATTTCCACCACGTCGGTCCCCTCCTCTGCCGGTGGTATGTCTGTCATGGCCGAGTCCTCCCCCTCGGCGGCTGTCTCGTTCTCCATCTTCTTTTTCTAAACCCAAGAAGACTCATGAGTGTGGGGCTGGGACAGGGATGTGTCACTGCAGAGCCACGAGCGGGCAGCGGCTGCCTCGCTGCAGACCTGGGTCCCGTTTCTGGTTGGGGTGACGTCCCCGAGGCTGCATCTGATCGGCATATTCCTTTCTGTCTGGTTACTCGGGGGGGCCGGCGCTGTGCTAGACGCTTTGGGGGATCCTGGCTGCCTCCCCCACGCCCAGAGAGCACAGGCAGCTGATGGGGACCTGCCTCTGCACCCCCCGCCAATGGTGGCAGCACCTGCCCAGCCATCTCATCCAGCCACATGCAGACTGTGCCCCCTGGGGATGAGCTTGGGCCCCTCCCCTCCAGGCCACCCCAGGTCCATGTGTCTTTCCCACTCTGCTGGCTGGCTGTCCCAATTCCTGGTGACTGCGCTGCCATTTTGCCTGCCTTGCAGTAAATACCTCTCTGTGCCCTGACCTCTTCTCCTTGGGGATCAGGTTCTCCAGCGCCGCCCCCCAACCCAACCTGCCATTCTTGGCTCACTGGAGACCCTGTCATTATCGACACCCTTGTATCACTGACAGGCCAGCTGCAAGGACACAGTTCTCCACCTCTTGCCACTGCCCATCCCCCCTCCCCTTCCAGGCCCCTGTCCCTACAACCCATGAGCCTTCTTGTCTCCTCCCCTTCTCATCAGCTTAAATGAAATGCTCAACAGTTATAATCACTTCTGTGCCCTGTGCCTCTTTCGTTTCATCTCATTTGTAGGTAAAACCTGATCTGGGTTGGGTCCAAATCTCTGCTAAGTTCAGCCCTCGCCACCCAGCTGCCGTGGCTGGGGTGTCGCCCTGGGGAGCCCCGGAGATCTGTCCTTGGCCCCTTCCCTTCCCTCCCCCAGCCACTCCCTGGCTAATCCTCTCCCTCCTGCTCCCTAAGCAGTCATAACTGTAGGACTATATCCCCAAACAGCTAGGTAGCCCTGCAGGATAAACGAATTACGTGCCAGAGTATGTAGTGTGTGTGTGTGTGTGTGTGTGTGCGCGCGCGCGCGCGCGCACACGCTCATGTGCGCAGTGAGTAGCTGAGAAGACTTCCTGAAGGGCCAGGAGATCTGGGGTTGAAGAGGGGACTGGTTGTGCAGGGGCAGAGTCGGGGAGGGCATCCTGACCAGCCAACGTTTGCTAGACCAGTCGTCCCTCCGCAATTAAGTCCGAGTTTATAAGGACTTAGAGGATGGATAGTTCCAGCATTTTCTCACATGGTCAAAGCTTTACTTAGTTTCTACAATTTGTAGTTCTCCTGAGGAAACACGAGGATGCAGGACTGTATCCATTCTCCACCGTCTCTCCTGAGCAGTTGGGCCGCCTTTTGAGACAAGGCGGGTGTCAGGAAAAAAATCCACATAATGGTTGTAAGGAATAACCCACAAATAGCACACTAGGGTGTCCCCTTGCTAGTGAACCTGACCTAGGACTGAGCAACTTCTGGCCACGAGGGTTCCTCACACGCAGGAGGGGCCCTGAGTTCTGGTGAGCAGCGTGGGTCCAGCTGAGGTGGGCTGTGTGTCCGTGACTGTGGGCTCCCCCCTCACCCCCCCCCACTGTGGCCGCCTCCTGCCATGGGCCCTCAGGGAGCCACTCAGGGGTCCCTGCACCTGGGGAGGCTCCACGCCAGCACAGGTGTGCGGGTCTGGGGCAGGCTCACCTGTTTCCGATAGACGTAGCACGCGGCTATGGCGACCATGGTGGATTCTCCCACGAATCCTGCCAGGAGGGAGCCCACACCCAGAGTGGCTCCGTGTACCCTGGGGATGAGAACACAAAGGCCATTGATCTGTTAAAGCCGTGCCAAGGCACAGGTAGAGCGGAAGCCCAGGAAAGGTGCAGACAAGAGAGGAACCAATTGCCCCTGAGCTCTGCGGGGAAGGGCTGCACCTGATACACGCTCCCCCCCACCCCCCGCATGGGGAGGGGACCTGGAGGTCCGAGGTGAGCTATCCCCCACTTCCCGTCCAGGTCTTGGCCCCACACTGCTGGCTGGGCCGTGGGCCATGTCCCCCTCACTCGTGAGCCCACAGCCCTTCCTGCCCTCGTCTCTGTACAGAGACAGGAGCTCTGAGGGTGGGGGTCACGATGTCCTTCCTCCTTTGTGTTTCCCCTTCCCGCGCCTGCCGCCCGTAGCAGGTGCTCAGTGAATAGGGTGTATGGGCTTGACCCCGAAAGGACGCTTCTAGAATGTTGCTGATCTACCCTCCACCTACGGCCTGGGCAGAGAAAAGGTGCCACGCTGCATTTCTAATTCTGGGTGTGCCTGGGGATGGGACATGAAGGTCAGAAGAGGCAGAAGGACCTTCAGCCCCCGGCCCCTCCCCCTCCCCTCGCCAGCATCATACCCCCCACCCCGCCCCGAGACATACCCCAGGTAGGGCAGGACTACGAGGCTGGTGATGAGGACAATGATCCGAAGCACGGAGCTGGGGGCCAGCACGAAGGTCTTCTTCAGAGTCATCAGCCACCCGGTGAGATGCGCCCTCACAGTGACTGAGGGGACAGTAGAGGTCTGGTCAGCGATGCCCTGCTTCTCCTAGTCCTCAAGCTCTCCCCCGTGCCTCACCAGCCCACCCGAGCTTGTGGGGTGGCTGCATGCGGACCCAGGCCTTGCTGCTGCAGCCCTGGGCTGGCCACCGCATCTTCCAGCCAGGGCTCCTGCCCCTGCTCCCGGGCCTGTGACAGCCCTGTCCCTTCTGGGTTCCCACCTCACTGCAGTCCTTTGCCTCCAGACAGAGGGTTGCCGGCAGCTGCCTTTCTCCACTGTGATTGCCGTCCTTCTTCCGCTGGACCCGGCCTGGCCCTGGGACAGTCCTGCCCACCCTGCCCCTGCCGCAGCCCCCATCCCGCCCCAGCCTGGCCTCAAGCTCTGATCTCTCCTCCTCAGAAGAGAAAACACAGAGAAAAGCCACAATTTGCCAGAGGTCCAGTTGGACTGTGGGTGAGGAGGGAAGTGGGACCAGAAGGTCTGTCTTCCTGGGGGTGGGGGGACATGGAGACTAGAGTGGGGAGAGGGAACGATGGGGCTTCCCTAGTTCCTTCCCAGCCACCCCGGACCGCTGGCACCCTGCTCATCTCCTCTCCTTCCCTAATGGCCACCCCGCCTCTGTCACTACTCACAAGGGCCTCGCCCAGTATTCCCCTACAGGCTGCCTGTCCATCCTGGGAAGTGTGGGGGCAGAACGGGGTGCCCGGTCGGGGCATGGACGAGGGCTCTGGGCGCAGACACGCCTGTCAGGAGGAAGTGCCTGGATGTTCAGACCTGATGGGCAACCGCAAGGGGCTGTTGGAAGCTATGGCTTAGTCCTCCCAGGGTAGCAAAGCCAGGCAGAGTCCTGGGGTAAAAATGCATGCCCAGGGTACATTTTGAGGAGGACACTCTTGTCTTCCTCATCTCCGGGGGGCCCTGCCCGCCCGGGGTGGAAGCCTTGTGTTTATGAGGCACAGACACACACTTGGGCTTGGGCGAGGCAGAGGGTGGGGCACCCCCTGGAAGGCTCCGCCACTTGGCCTGAACCCTGCAGGCTGCAAAGACAGGTGGGGTGTGATGGCTGGCCTGGCGCCCTCCGTGTGACAGAGACAGAAGGGAGTCTGGGGACTAAAAACCAGTCCAGTCCCAGCAGGATTTGTCTGGGACTCCCACCCCGCAACCAGCTGAATCCGGGGAAGGAGCAGCACATGCCTTCTTCGCCAGCAGGGGGCAGCCTTGCTCCAGGTGGGGTCACCCTCCACAGCGTGGCTCGCCGGCCCGGTGTCCCCTTGACAAAGACCAGACACCACCCCGTGGCCACGATCTTCCACACCTCCGTTTCTTCCACAGCTGGGAAGGTGACACCTGAGAGACCAGCCTCCAGAAAGGCTCAGTATCCAAGAGCAGGGGAGGGGTGGGCTCTGATCCAATGCAGGGATGGCACCAGTGGCCCTGGCCTCCTCTAGCTCTGCAGCCCATTTCTTTCTTTCTTTCTTTTTTTTTTTTTTTTTAAAGATTTTATCTGTGGCCCATTTCTTAACTGTGGCTTTGTCCCTTCTGCCTTCTCAGCTGAATGATTTAGTGGATTATTTGGGCATTAATTTTTTTTTTAAGATTTTATTTTTAAGTCATCTCTACATCCACCATGGGACTCGAACTCACAACCTTGAGATCAAGAGTGGCAAGTTCTTCTGTCTGAGCCAGCCAGACACCCCTCGGCAATACGTTTTTGGAATAAGTAATGACATGCACTTGGTACAGAACTGAAAAGGAAGGGAATGCAATACAGAGATCTTTCTCCCAGGCCTGACTCCCCAGCCACTGGTCCTGCTTTCCAGAGGCAATCACGGGTACCAGTTTGGCGAACTGCTTCCAGGAACAGTAAGTGGACACCCAAGCACTTACCATGAACTTGACACACACGGACAAGCATGCGTGGTATGATTGTTACAGAAAAAGCAGCATGCTAATCAACGATTCTGCAGCCTGCTTTTCTCATTTAATAAAGAACAGCCTCACCCCCATATAGTAAACCACCTCCTACAGAATCAGCTTGGGAATTTTCAGCCTGGCTTATTTTTGACTACGGACATTTTTCTCTCTGGCCATATGCCGTCTGGCCTCAGCCCTGCCCCCAGAGCCTTAAGTCCAGCAGTGTTTTTCTGTCTCTGTATATCTGCAGGTTTTAGCAGCCTTTCTGCCTTTTTGTTTATGTTATTTTTTAAATAGCATATTATAAAACTGACTTTGGAGCATACAGATCTAAGAATTTTAACACACGCACAGATCTGTGTAGCCATCTCCATGACCAGGGCACGGAACAGTTCCACGGCGCCCCCTAAACTCACGCTGTCCCTTTGGGTGTGTTTTCTTTTTACCATGTCTGCGACCTTGTCCTTGAAGGAACAAATCATGTCTGTCCGATGTGTTTCTTGACCTTGCAGCCCACTGGATGACATGTTCGCCCCTTTCCGATCCACTGTGACATTTTACCGTTTCGGTTTGGGACATCACCGCAAACATTTCCAAAGAAAGAAGACCCCATCGGGCACGCGGTGAGACAGGAATTTTCCTTTCATTCTGTCTTTACCTGGAACTGGGAAAAAGGAGAAGATGCGCAGGGGAACGACGCAGAGCTCTGCAAAGGCGAAGTCCACGCCGATGATGTCGATCAGAATTTTCTCAGAAACGTTGGGCGTCCAGAACATCACGAAACAGAGCTGGGGGCAGAAAGGACAGGCAGGGAGGTCATTAGTAGGAGCGTACATGAGTGAACCCACATCAAAGCCGGTGTCTCGAGTTGGAAGGAGGGCAGGGGGGCCAGCCCATCAGTCCTCCAACAGCCGCCCTTCGGCCGTGTTCTTACCTTCGACACTAGCCCCGCCCATTTGGCACAGGTGCCCCAAAGGGACCCCCGGAGGGACCCCTGCAGCGGGTGGGTGGCGGGCTAGTGAGGGAGACCAGCTGCTCTCACGGAAGGTGTAACTAGATCGCTAAGCGGCCCGGTGAGCCCAGGGTGAGCGTGCTGAGTCATGGGATTTTTACGGCTTTCCCCCAAGACTGGGAAGTGACCCGAAAGCATCTGGCATCTACATCTGCACGCGCAGGGCCACCCTGAACCAGCGCACCTAACGGAAAAGGAAACAGTGAGACTAACACTGAGGACGGGTTTGGAATGTTTTCAAGGTCTGGTTTAGAGAATGAGAGGCAACAGCCACAGAATGTGCACCTTTGGAGAGCAGGTGGGCAAGGAGTGCACGGATTTCACAGAACCCCTCCCCCACAAAATGGCAGGGGGTAGGGGTGGGGACTGAGTTGTCTCCAGCCCTTCTTCGCCTCACCCTGTCAGGAAATGTGGCAACAGGCCCTTCTGGAAGTGGGGGTGAGGGCGGGGCCAATAGCAGGCCGGTGGAAAGTCTAGTTAGTGAGCAGCTTGGGCACAGTTGCGTCTGCACAGCTGGTGAGTGTGGCCCTGACCTTGGAATGTCATCTCTGCGGTGGAGGACAGTTGCTGCCCAGAAACGGGGAATTAAGGGAAGGATGACGTCAAAGGTCCTGTCTTTTTCCTCTGATCAGCTCCCGGAACACAGGAAACCAGCTGCATCCCTCCCGGGGAGAAGACCCAGGATTCTGGAGGCGGGAAGATCCTGGTGAGGCAGCAGCCCCTCCCGTGCCGGACTGGCCGCCACGAGGCCCACACAGGGGATCGGCGACCTCCACACGTGCATGGCTGCGGGTCGGCTTCTGATACCCCCAACAGTGCGGAGACAAGCAGGGATCACCAGGCTTCACGGCAGGTCTCTAAGCCGAAGAGGCTCAAACGGGGGGAAAATTGGGAGGAAACAGAGAGAAAGCAGAGAGACAGAGAGATGGACACACACGCGCGCGCACACACACACACACACACACACACACACATACACACACACACGGTGGGGGGAGAGAGGAAACTCTCGCCCACTGATATTCTCAGAGTGATAGAAGATCCTGCACCCGTGAAATGAGGCCCAAATGGAAATGTTATTTTAAAAAGACATTTAAAGAGCAAGAAAATACTTTTGAAAATTAGAAAGATTAAATCAGAAATAAAATTCACAAAATGACAGTAAGATAAATGTTGACAAAATGTTGTGTGGGAAGGAAATTCTTTGAGGCCTTGAACATGTGAAGATGTCTTTCTTCCAACACACTTGATTGATTGATTTCTTCAACTTTTTGAACAAATCTACAACAAAGATGGAGCAGGACAAAGATATGGGAAGAACAGCAGAATGGGCTTGAAATATATAAAACAAAGACCCATCGCAGAGGCCCAACATTCAAATCATACGAGTTCCAGAAAGAACAGTGAAAATCTGAGAGCTGAACCACACAACTCTGAAGACCTTCGTGGGGTCCATCAGTGGACACAGCATCATGGATGAAGGAAGACCCCCAAGTAGAGCACACGCAATGCTGGAGGCAGAGACAAGAAGATTCTAGGAGCTCCCAGAGGTAGACAGCTAGAAAGCTCACACCGAGAGTCAGAAGACGCGGAGCAGTAAGTTCGGACGGAAAATGGTTTCTAGCCTAGAACTCAGAATCAATCAAGTGTGTTGGAAGAAAGACATCTTCACATGTTCAAGGCCTCAAAGAATTTCCTTCCCACACAACATTTTTTCAAGAAGCCGCTGGGGGTATCCACTGCCAGAGAAAGGGAGGAGTCATGGATGAAGAAAAAGATATGGGATTGATCTCAAGAAAAAGGCCTGGGGAATCCCTGGGATGGGGTCAGGGAAGACCCCAGAAGGGCCGAGAACAGGCCCAGAGGTCAGCAGATTTGCACTGAAACTGGCTGGAAGAGGAGACCCAGTGAGGAAAATGATGAAGGTCCAGGAAAAACTACAATTTTTTTTTTTTTTAGAAAAGTGGGGAATCAGAGCTCGGCTGTCTAGAGTTTGCCACAGTTGGAACTCTTCGAAAGAGCTGGGGGGCGGTAAGGGGCTTTGGGTACAAAGTACAAGAAGGAGTGCGCAGGCTGGGGGAAAGGCTGTTGGTAACAATCCTCAGAGAACTGACTTTTTAACCTTCGTGTGTGTATAATCGACAATCCCGGAATTAAAACATGTAATAACAGAACTTTGGGAGAGAATGCTAACCACTTGCCAACGTCACCAAATATTTTCTCTCCCTTTTTTCAGGGACAAGTGAGTCTTCTTTAAAATGAAAGTGAGGGGCGCCTGGGTGGCTCAGTGGGTTAAAGCCTCTGCCTTCGGCTCAGGTCATGATCCCAGGGTCCTGGGATCGAGCCCCACATCGGGCTCTCTGCTCCGCAGGGAGCCTGCTTCCTCCTCTCTCTCTCTCTGCCTGCCTCTCTGCCTACTTGTGATCTCTGTCTGTCAAATAAATAAATAAAAATAAAATCTTTAAAAAAAAATAAAATGAAAGTGAATACGTTCCAACGAATCACAATCATATAAAAACAGAACGCTGAAATTTCAGAATACCCTCTCCTTTAGTCTTTGGGTAAATTAAGTTTCATGGAATTAGGCTGGCCTCATTACCTATGTTGTCCTGAAGTATTTTCTCAAATACCTTGGAAGATCTATTATAAATATGTTGTACCTTATAAATGTAATGGACATTTTATTCTATTGGTGCATTCTTCAGCATCTGGAAAGAATATTCCATTGCTTTTCAAAAGTGACAGTTGTACAATCATTCAACCCTCCTGCCTAATGCCAATTCTCACACCCTGTTTTTGACACGAAGGGAAAAGTACTTCCTTACGTCCAGCAACGCAGAACCCCGAGAATTTATTACCTAGTGTCCCGGACAGGTGGCCTTGTCATCTTTTTCCACCGCAAAGCTGCCAGCCTGAAATGCTGAGATGCACGCCTACAGCTCGGGGAGGGGCGGGTGGAGGGAGGGAGGTAATTTCATGCAATTATAACTTCAAAATGACACTGAGCACAGGACTGGGACACCATTCATTTCCCTGATGAAGAGACAGATCATCTGTCCTTCCAAATATTTTCCATTGCAGCAAAGCCGTAAAGATTAAGATAAGTGAGCATCACCGCAAGTCTGGACTTGCTTTGTGCCTTAGGAGCTGTGGAGGGCAAGCCATCCTGGGTTTTCCTGGTTGGAGGGAGATACCTTGGGCATATTCTCCTAAAAACGTAGGCTTCCAGGAGAATCGCTGGCATGCTGTATTTCTACTCTAGCCTGCAGTTTTCTGTGAGATAATGCTCACGTTGCACTCTCTCTGTGTTTTGTAAGTCACCGTAAAGTCGCCGCTAAGTTTCAACAAACCCAGGAAAAAGGCGGGTGTAACCACGTGTCTGAGCTGGTGGTACAAGGAAGTGTCTGCGGCCAAGGCAGTAAACCCTCCCCCTCGCTTCTCCACATGGATAATGTTTGTCTGGAAGATTTCACTGCCTTTGATGAGATTATCCGTAAACTGTTGAAGGAGGGAGTACAATCCGAGGACACAGCAACAGCGAGCGGGTCCCTGTCACCCGACATGTTTATACTCATCTCAGCCTGGACGGGGTTGCCGTGCTGGTCCCTTGCAAACCAAACGGTGAGGTTTAGTGGGTCGCTAACAGATCCTCTGGGAGAGCGGCTTGGTATTTCACTTCCAAAATTTCACGGTTTTGACTTGGACCCACGGAGCAACTCCGGTCTCCATCTGGTCTCCATCCATGCCAAGGACCCCTTAAAAGTCCCCATCAAGGCCACATGCCACCGAGGTGCCTCTCTGGAGCTTTCAGTCACATACACGAGAGCCTAGACTGGCTCTTCTAGAACAAGGAAGCTGGAAGCCATCAGTCTGGTCTGGGGCTTGAGCAATCCCAGGTAACTATTCAAAGAGAAGGAAAACTGCCTATCTCAATGCTTCCTTTCTTTTCTCCCCCAAATTTCTTCTTCTTCTTCTTCTTCTTTTTTTTTTTTTAAAGATTTTTTGTACATTCATTTGAGAGAGAGACAGAGGGAGCATAAGCAGGGGGAGAGGCAGAGGGAGAGGAAGACTCTCCAGCGAGCCAGGAACCTGACATGGAGCTCGATCCCAGGACCTGGAGGTCATGACTTCAGCCAAAGGCAGACGCCCAACCATCTGAGCCACCCAGGTGCCCTTCTCCCCCAAATTTCTAAATATGGTCCCTTTGCCTTTGCTGTGCTTCCAGCATGAAAACGCCCGCTGCCTTCCAGCAAGCTCCTGAAAAAGTCACTATTCCCTGCATCGCCCAGAGAGGAATACGTGCGACTTAGAAGTAGGCGTGGTATTGGTTAAAAACGGCCATCAGTAGCGATCTGCTTGTCATCTTCCCCTAAGAATAACAACCAGATCACCTCTCACCAGCCTGTTTCCGAAAACAAGAAGCTTCAGAAGTTAAGCTAACAAAGAACATTTCAGGAAAAGTGTCATTCTAATGAGTTGCCCAGAGGTGGCTTCCCTGGGAACATGCCCTCCCAGTTGACCATGACATGCCATGTTCCTCAAATATTTGCAGAGCCTAATGACATTGACTTTTCCAAACCAGAACACAAACCTAATAAACTACGGACAATGAACAGAATTTGTTCTCCTTGGAGCAGGTGTGTGGTTGGCTTTTTTTCCCCCCTGCAGAGCTTGCTGTCAATATTATCTCATTAGGAAGTAGCCAGCAAAATGGAACAACCCACTCAGTGCCCAGGTCTGCGTTTTTCTATTTATTCTCCAATAAAAGGAACCAGA